TTACCCCCGGAAAGTTTTACAAATGTAGGGGTTTCAAAGGCTTATTTAATCGATTTTAGAGTCTACTATTATGTAGAAAATACATATAATTTGTTTTTCTCCCCGACGAATTGTGCTTTTTCTCCCAGACCGGTGGAAGTGGGGGCTGCCCACCCCTTTCCCCCTCCGCTGGCGCCATTCCTGCCTTTTTCCTGTAACTGACATCAATAAATGAGGATCTCCTTGAAGTTAATAAAATGCTGGTATAACCCTCTAATATTTTTACGTTATTATACCATGGAGGTATTATTAATACCTCCATGATTATACTAAAGTAAACATCATGCAGAATAGAGCAGCATCTCATTCAAGCGTTGTCCAGTCATAACGTCAAATTCCATCCTGCTAATATTGCTTAGAAACGCGATGTTCTTTTCCTCTTATCTGTTGCTAAGCGACATACATTCGGCATCCTTGTTTCTTAGTGATACAGATGTTTTTAATTCCACAAATCCTGTGCTTATTTTTCTCTTTGTATTTTTTAAAATGTATATTTTAAAGTAAATGATTGATGAGTTTATTTCTTCTTGAAATGCTTGATTATTTCTGGGACAGTACGACATTATTTTTCGTTTAATTATGATGTTTTAATATACCTTTTCACATATCATTTCTAAGAGAGAGATTAATCTTCCGTTGACATTCACTATATATAAAAGAGGACAAGATATAAAAAGCACAGAAGTGAGAAAAAGTGAATGATTAGGTTTAATTTCCCAATCTGCTGATTACAAGTTGCAACAGTATTGAAGTCCGCACATGTATTCTAAGATGCTTTTAAGTGATGACCAGAACAACAACATGAAGTGCATAAAATGCTTGGTTTGCATGATGGGAAACGTCGGGCCTTTTTCGCTATGCCCCACCCATTAGATATTGTTGCCAAGGTCCAACAAAAGGAGAGTTAAACTGGACGCAAAACAAGTGCAATTATAGGACAACATGCAGGGGCGGCGGGCCGGCCACACTTTCGGAATGTCAAAAAAAAAGAAAAGAAGGAGTTGATCTCCCAAAACGTCTCAAAGAACAACACATTTCTATGATAATTACATAACACCATCAATGGCTAATATATCAAACCAAAATTATTACCTAGTCATATAATTTGAAGACTCAAATTAAACCGATACTGTGTGCACTAGTAGTAGTACAGACTTTATGATGCTACTTATAAAAATTCGCTGTTGGGAGCAAGGACGACAGCATCATTTTCCTTACAATAGTGTAGCATACAGCTAGTAGTACTGCCGAAAGGTCCCCTGATTAATCTTAAATAATGAAGTATAATACATACTCCAAGAATTGAAATACACACCATCGTGTTGGGATTCAATATATTTTAAATTTGTTTAGATTCAAAATTGAGACCGTTCGTAAACACTTAAAAAATACGGTAGCTATTCATAGCTACCAAAATCTCTGGGACCATTCCAGTAAAATATGCAGTTACCATCAATCATCTAATGATGGAAACAATAGCCTACCTACAGCTGCAAGGTAGAATAGTAGGTGTTACGCTATAACATATGTCCGATACCAGTAATGATGAGATTGACAGGTGGGACAATGACAATCAATATGTGAACCCCGCCCTACTACTACTCAACACAACAAAACTGCCAACTCACACTGCCATTTTTGTCCATAACAAAACCAGCTCGTTTTAATCATTAGTGAAAATACAGTGTCTTAATATATATATTTTTTTCAATACAGTAGTATGGAAAATCACACCAGCGTATGGTCTTTACATACAGAACATGGTTTTTAAAAATGCAATTGTCAGGAGTTAAAATCCAACTGTAAAATCATGCTGATTAGGTAATGTTTTGATGATGGGATACAGTATTTACATCAGAAATTCTTCAAACTTTGTACAATGAGTAATGTCAGATAATAGCATTTCAATATTACACTAATATGTGTATCCATCCATTCTTATGTACAAATTTACATTCAATATATTTTTTGAAACAAAAATGTATACATAAATACTTCAGACACATAAAACTATGAATATTTAGTAGCTATTCATAAAATATGTGAATAAATTACTTATATATAATTTTAAAATATTAAGTTTATTCAAATGTATATATTCAAATTATTTCAATTAAATTTATAAATATTCAACGTTTATTTAAGTGTGTACACAAATATTAATAGGATACAATTTATGAATATTCAGTGTTATTAAATCATATGCATAAATTATGTTTAAAATTTATTATATTGATTATTCATAAAATGTATGCATTTTGGACATGTGTACACACTTTATGCATATCCATGAACAGCAAATGAAACTATTAACGCTTCATCAAAACATAAACAATTCATATGAAATATGTGTATCTTTTTTTGGAAATGAGAGGTTTGGCTAGGTAGTAAAACCAGGACGGGAAACCTTGTACAGCCATATAGCAACAAACAGATTATGAAAAAATTCACAGCAACATAAAACAACAAAACTGAATATTAACAACAACTTAAAAATAGGACAATATTCCATAGCTATTTACTGTACAGCAGTTCAAAATATCACAAATCTATTGTGGATTATGAACAATACAATTCATAAAAATATGATCTGTTATCTTGTTTAACTGGTTATTCCAGAATAGTTATCACATGGTAAACATTATAATGCAGCACATAACATCACCATACAAGATTGTTACAGTACTTTATCTCTGAATTATCATGACTCACTTTTGTTGGTTAGATACATACTAGCAAGCCTAGCATTAAAAGTACTGTACAGTACAAAGACTGTATCAGTTTTTAACTGGCCAATCAAAAACCCCAAGAGAACAATAGATGAATGGGACAATGGTCTTGTGGGTTAGACAAAAAAATTAGAACAATTTGACCACAGACTTTTGAAATTTGTTTCAAAGACTGAATTAATATACAATTATAGTTGAGGATATACTGTAAAGCAATTCTGAACATATGTACAGTGCTCAAGAAGACATTGTTAATTCAGTACTCTGGATAATATATATACAAGTACTGTATAGTAAACCTGTTTCAACAAAACAATGTTCATGTACTAATATCAGAAAATGCATTATTGGTAGCTACTGTACATGTACTTAAATGAAATAGCATGCCATTCAAAAATAATAATAATAATAATAATAATTCACCTGAAAGTTCCAGGGGCGTTAAAACATGTGATTCAATTCTCCATTGATTTCCTATAAATTAGTAGCTAATGGAAAATGGAGTGCAGGGGCATATAACACCTATCCAACACTATTGTTCTCTCTGCGTTTATCTAGCCAGTGAACACCAAAACACCACAATGGACGTTCTCTAAAAATAGTTCCTAGCAATCACAATAAATGAACATTGTAATACTGTACTTATTTTGGGTAAAAATAATATTTAACCTAGTTACCGATACTCCTGATATAAGTTATTTTCAGTACTTTCATTGCGGTAAGTAGATAAAATCAACAGATTATTGAATTGCACTGTAAAAGCACATTTATGTAGAAACTGCTCTACCACAAAAACTAGACGTACTGTGCGTATCTTAGATGGACGGATTTTCTAGTTGCACGAATGGAATGTGTTCCATAACAGTGGCGGAGCCAGAAGAAAGGACCCCTGCAGCAGCAACCAAACAAATATCTAGATAAATACTGTAGATTAAAATGGCTCAAGCTCTGGACCTTCCAAGTGGTACTTGACCTATCAGCCTGCAAGTCCCACCCTTCCTTCACAGACCGATTGTCTCTTGCGCCACCCCAGCAAAAAATTTCTTCCTGGATCCGCCACTGCATAATCATCACCAAAAACATTGACATTTTCTGTGGGACGAATACACTAGAAAAGAAATTAGTACTCAGACAATGGGATCACAGCTCATGAAAATGATAAGAAATGAGAAAAACAATGGACAGCTTCATCAAAAGTATTTAACACAAAAACTAAATGGACATTGAATAATGCTACTGTATCAAAAATTGTTTCAAGGTACAGGTAGTATTCCTTTAGAATAAGTCCTTAAAAACAGAATAGATAGTAATTTCTGTTAAAATCGATGTACAATAACAATTTGTTAAATTTGATAACCTATTCACTTTGGATTGAACTATTATTGTTTTCTTATAAAAAAAAAAATTGCAGAATAAAAATACTTTAAAATGGAATAATTAAAACTTGAATATGAAAATACTGGTAAGAAATTTTCAATAAAACATTAAATTAAAATAAATTACAATCATAGAATGTCAATGGAGAAATTTTATAAATTGTATTGAGGCACCCTGCACAAATTTGCATAGAAATGATCAATTAAAAATGATTATCATTCCAATGTAGCAGGTATGGAGAAATTAAGTACATGCAATTTCAGTAAGCAAATTTTGCCTTTTACTACAATTGTTAGTATTTATACACTGTGACTTAATATCAATTTGTAGTTAAATTAGTAATTTAATTTAATGTAATTCGGGGGTTTTAATTAAAAACTGTAACTGTACCTGCAGACAAGAATTGCTACCTTTCCTCTGAAAGACTTTACTCTATTATTCGAACACTTTTGGACAAAAAGACACATTTTCTGTACTCTCTACATAAAAATGTATTTGATCAAAATATGAATGTCATGCCAAAATGGTTTATGTTAGCAAAATATAGATTAAATTGCTCTTTCTTGCATTCATATCATTGTACACAGCATAGTTCAGAAAATGTGAACATATCAGATGCACCATTTGGAATGCTAATTTTCAATTATTATCCTCTCTCTAAAATATCCACAATTATCAGGTTACAATTTTTGGTAAAACTGTTCTTTGGGATGCTACAGTGCCATCTGTTATTTGACGACCTTTACCACTATGTACACCAGTTGGTGGAAGCTTGGCTACAGATGATCCCTGGCGCTTGTGTTTTGCCGACGTCTGGTCGCTGGGCGGTTTTGGAAGACGCCGTCGAAGCCACGAGTGTCTAAGTGCTTGACTTGGCGTCATACGAGTAGCAGGATCCCAATCAAGACACCTCCGTAAGAAATCTAAAAAGAGCTGGTCATCACATCCTTTCAGTGCCTTCACAAACTCTTTAGTCCCAGGCGCACCCCGGACTTTGCCTCTCCTCGACCGGCCACCAGTTAAGACAACCGTACCATCAGGTAATGTTGTAACAGAACAATACCTTGGATGGCCTTTAGAGTTGAAGAAATTTTTAGAACGCTTGGATTGGTCCATCAATCTCTGTGGGGGCATGCCAAGAAGTTCTATCATGGTAGCAAGTTGATCTCCTTCATCCTCGCCTGGCAGAAGTGGGTATCCGGTTAGAAGCTCCGCTAGTATACATCCTAGGCTCCACATATCTATCGGCATTCCATATCTGGCACCAAGGATAACCTCTGGTGCACGATAAAATCGACTCTGAATATATGTGTAAATTCTTTGGTGTTCATAACAACTTGAACCAAAGTCAATAACTTTGATTCCACTCCGACCTTGTTGTTTTAATAAAATGTTTTCTGGTTTTAAGTCACAATGAATAATTCTATTTCGGTGGAGGGCATCGAGGCACTGTAGTAAAGAGTGGGCAAATTTTCTTACCAACTGTAGACTGAATCCCTGAAATTTATTCTTCTTTATAAGTTCATACAAATTCATACTTAGCAGTTCAAATGTAATGCATATATGATTCCTAAATGTAAAGCTTTCCACCATATGAATGATATTCATATTATTGTCTTTATCCTGCTTTTTCAAGTGTTCTAAGATTCTGATTTCCTCCTGTGCCTGACGATGAAATCGTTTTTCATTTCGTACCATCTTTACAGCTAAATGCTGATTGGTTTTATGATCATATGCTTTTACTACTTGTCCAAAGCTGCCTTTGCCAATAATTTTAAGTACTTCATATCGATATCCTATGTGGTCATGTTGAACATGAATATATGACCCTTGTTCATCATCGTAACCACAGTTGTTTGCACCTCCTACCACTCCATGGCGTTTTTTGGCATTTGGTCCAACAAAATATATCTGTGAGTAGTTAAATATTTCATGATGTTCATATGCGCCTAGTTTATGCATATACAGTTTCATGGATTCTTCTGGAGTCATAGGACCCGAACGCCCTTTCGCAGAGTCATTTTTTGATCCATTACTCCCCACACTGGGGGCCCTCTGAACTGAGGGTAGCTGATGACCTGTTGTACCATTTCGAACATCTCCATTTTGATGTTGAAAGTTACGTTGGATATTTCGACTTTGATGATTATGATTATCGTCCGTTTCAAATAATTGAGTAACTTTTACTCCACCTACAACATGATCACTGGATTTTTTGTTACTTACTCCAATTGCTCGGCTTTTTATTGGTGGTAATTCCACATGAGAAGCATGATTTCCAATTCCCTTCGTATTGTTATCGGCAAGATGAGCGTATATCGAGTCGTTGCCAGTCCCCGCAGCGGCGGTCCCTGTCACAAGCGACCGCGATCGTGGGGCCTGTAAACTCGGTTTTCTTATAGAATCCACCATCGAATCGACCATGTTGTATCTTACTCACCAAAAAAATATATATATTTCCGATGTTGGAGAAAGAAATCCAGCTTTAAATATTGTTATACTAGAGCAGAATGTTCCATGTTCGTTCACTCATTTTCCAACACAATTCCAAAATGGCTACCCTCTAAGCGTGTTGCTATTTTCCCAAGCTCTCCAACGACAATACAGGAATTCTCAATGTTGTCATAACTACGAGGCCGCTCGACCGCAGTTTACCGCTTGTGTCGCATGACGTCATCTAGCAACCTCTAAATTATTATGCTGGTAGACATCCAATCAGCTGTGCGTATTTTGTTTACTAACATTCCATGCATGAGGTATTTCCCACGATCTATCAAAGAATTCGTATTTTTCAATATGTAATTACTGTATTCCAAATAATTAAAAGAAAGTTATTTCACTCAATAACCTAATACATTGGTAAAAAAGTAGGATACATCATAACAACTTTCTACTCTTTATTATCTGTCTTTATAAACCATAAAACCTTGAATTGAAGCCCTTGTCTTTTTTTTTTTTTTTTTTTTTGCAAAATTTGGATGGGCTTCTTTCCGAGGCTACTTTTGTAAAGTAAAGAGGGAGGCTTCTTTTCAAAAGGAATGCTGTAAATTTTGTGGATTTGTACTATAAAACAATAAATAAGGCCACTGTAACATCAATCTGTATCATGTACCGTAACATCAATCTTTATCATGGAGCGTATTTAACTGGCATTAAATTCCCTGAACTACTGTATAAATAAAAAATAACTGTATAAAAAAAAATAGATAAATAAAATAAACCAAGCTTGTTTTAAATTAATTTTGTTGTTTGAATTTCATGTACATCGTATGAAAAGAAGCCTATGCTATCTTGAAAAGAAGCCCATGGGCATCTTTTCGAGGCTAATTTTGCAAAGTAAAGAGGGTTTGGGGGGGGGGGGGCTAACATTCGAGATGGGCTTCATCTCGAGATTAAGCCCACTTGGCTTCAATTTTAGGTTTTACGGTATAGGCATACAAATCTCCGTTATTAGCAAGGTGAAATATTGTTTTTCTCACTCGTGCTCCGTATCTATCAAATTTACCTATAGGCCTACTGTATACTTTATGCAGCTGTAGGTCTTAATCCATACAATCCAAAGCAGTGTTGTATGGTAAGCCTAATTTAACAATATTTGAATGGATATCTAGATTAGTTTTTTATTTGTTTAAATTTCAGTTAAAGCTGCTTTATGGCTTCAATATGCAGTAGTATGTTGATTAATATAATAATAATTATATGCAAGCGCAAAACTTGACCTATGAAAGATCGTTAGCTCTTGGTAGAGGGAAAGTATAAGAAGTAGGCCTTGGTTGAATTATCTGATGATGCATTTGTCCAGGTCAGTGTCCAATGGTTGAGCACTTCTAGCGCATATAATATTCGTCTCTAGGTCAGTTTCACGTGACAAGAATGTACCAATGTGTGTGTGTGTGTGTGTGTGTGTGGGTGTGTGTGTGTGTGTGGAGGGAAATCAAGAACGTCTCCGGTTATGTCAATATGTGTGATCTACCCATTTGAGTGTTATATGACATCACCGTTCCGTATACTAATACAAACCACATCATATATTATGTCTCAATGACCGAATGGTAACATGTTTTTTGCACCATGTTCAATTGAATTGCCTTGAAAAACTATCAGTCCTTAGGATTAGGATCTTTTAGGCCTAATGTGTAAATTGTGAGAGCAGGCTGACCGATATTTTAATTTTGTTTATACAGTATCACAGCAAAATAAAAAAAATCGAAGTTCAAAAGTGGTCTGACCCAATAACCATGACCACAATTTCAAAATGTATGTTTACACCTGTATTTCTTTAGCACCAACTATTCTTTTAATATCGACTTTTATCGACAATCCTAATTGAGTTTATAATAATCTTCAATTACGTAACCCCAGAGGGCGCTATGTACAGTATAATAATACTGTAATTATATATATTTTTTTGTAGTATTGTAATTCACTAATAATAATAATAATAATAATACGGTAATAATAATAATATATTTTTGTAGTTTGTTTTACAGGTCTCCCTCAATTAAAGACAAATTTTGGGACCAAAAGGGCTTACATGGTCTTTAGCAGCTTAGGTCTCTAATTAGAATAATAAAAATAAAAAGACATTTGTTAATTTGGACCACGGAAAAGTGGTCTTTAATTGATGGTGGTCATTAATTAGAGGGGTCTTTATGGAGAGATAGATTTGTATTGGCAATTGTAATAATTATATAGAATATAAAATCTGATGGTTGTAAAATTATGATTTATACTGTACATATTACTGTATGATTTATTTTTGTATTTGGCAATAATATTTTTTAACAAATTTTTGTCATTGTAATTTGTGATTTATAACAAATACTGTAATAATATGAACGATTTTTCATTTTTACATGTGAGTAATTTTACATTTGTATTTTGTAAACATCTGCCAATGGAAGATACATTTTCTTATTTGTATTTATGGGCACAATAAAGTTATCTATTTATCTATCTTTGGATGGTCAAATGTAGGAAGTAGAGTTTATGAGGAACCAACATTACAATCTTCACCAAAATATCTTAACAGCCACCACCACCACCGTCTTTATCACCACCATCACCAAATACATTATACAGTATAATCATACATTATCACCACCACAACCACCAAACATCACCACCATCATCACCACCAAGGTGACAACGCCAGGATTTGTCTAAGTGGCCCGACATTTCTTCCGAAAGATGCAATGATTCTTTAAAGTGCACACGAGCCAGATGTATACACTCAATCCGAGAAGAATGGATTCTACCAACGGAACCATGGGCGAGGAGCAGCTGGAACCAGCACCGATAATAAGGCTGTAGCTAGCCACTCGACTCGCCGTCTGCTGATTGTCGGTAGCAGTCAAAACGGATCGTCATTAAAAACGATTAATTGCGCGCGCGTTATTGCATTGCATTTTTCATAGAATTGCATCGGCTGACGCCCGTCTGGCGCAGCAAGTGCCCAGCTTTACATCCCATCTGAAGAATACAGTGTTAAGCAACAGTTAGCAGTGGCACAAACACAGCAATGAAATACTAAACACATTTCTCTTGTACCTTGAATTCTTTATTCACAGATTGTATTTTACAATCAGGGAAGATTTAACTGAGTTAACCTGTTCGCATTGGACTTTTCTGATCAGTAATACCCGCATGGTTATTCTTCCCTGTGCAACGTTTACTCCAGCCAAGGGCAGATCCATAGATTTCCAAAAGGGTGAGGGGGCCGAAGTGGGGCCAATCGAGATAATACTACCCTTGGGGTCCGGGAGCATTCACCCGCGAAACTTTCGTGTTCTATAACCTCTGAGGCGTTTGGGAGATCAATTTTTTCATTTTCTTTTTTTAACCTTCCAAAAGGGGGACCCCCAAAACCATTTATTTGTGACAAATAGAAGCGTACAATTCACGCAGAAAACGATAGAAAGTAATTGTAAAAGAAAGAGGCTGTCCTAGTGGTTACTATGGCGGTTGTTCCAGAATTTACACAGAGATCATAGATGTCAAAGTTCAAAAGTAATTGTAATTGCAAGAGGGCATCCTACACTGCGTTATTACAAAGTTTGTACGCAGAAATTGCGGAAAACGCTTTTTTGTAATTATACGATCTTTGATACAAGTACCAATGAGCAATCCTAATCTCATAATATAACCATGTTGATACAAAAAATTGGAGAAAGAAACCATTTTTTTAAACAGCCTTTATGTCAGTAGTGGTGCCAGGGCTTGTCCGATAAGGAGAGGGCTGACGTTCCCCCGAAGAGAATATAATATATAATATAATATAAAGAGAGGGGCAAGGCCAGGGTCATCCAACACCCTATTGGAGGGGCACGTGGGTAAAACGTGTTAAAGATCTAACAATTTAGGGATTTGAAAAGCTTATTTATTCGATTCTAGCCTCATAATCTGTAAAAATTACATTGGAATGTTTTCTCCCTGATAAATTGTGTTGAGCTCCCCAAGCATGCCCCCACCCCACCGGTGCCAACACACCACATCATATTCTATCTTATATATATATTTGGCATAGTTGCAAAACAATTTCTGTATTTTAAATCTTGATTTGTGGTAGCTGAATACTAAAGTTGATTTATCTAAAAATAGTCATATATAATATAATGTTTTGATTTCCATTGAAGATGGTACACACCATCATATTAATATTCCATTAAAAAAAAGAATCTTAGCTAAGAAATTGCATGGATAAATCAAATATAGTAAGTATTTAAGTCAGTATTTTTGCTTGATGAGCAAAAACACACAACCTTAACTCTTCCAACACTTTAAATTGAAAAAAAAACCAATAAAAACAATTTAATAACTAAAAATATTAATAATAATAATAATAATAATAATAATAATAATAATAAAAATAACCATAACAAATAATGCTTAGCATTATTGATAACAAATTTCAAATGTACTAAAACAATCCTAATTTAAAAACAATAAATGAATATAAATAGTAACAGCAATAATATGTTATAATAGTCATATAGCGCTTAATGCCAACAAGGCCTGTAAGAGCCTCACATTATTAGCCCCCGATCACTGGATCAAACACAATATGAGACACATACTCAGCTCCCTGGGGAGAATTCCATAATATTGCAGCATGTAAGTAGTCAGCGCACATTGTGTTTGAACCTACCAGGCACCCACTTGTACTCCTGGGTGGGGAGAGACAACCGTAGGTGAAGTGCCTTGTCTATGGACACAAGCGAAATGCACAACAAGGGATTTAATCCCGACTTCATGGTTGAAAAAAAAGCAGAGCAAACCGCTCCCACAATATAAATATAATATTAAAACAAAATAAAAGTAATACAATTAATGAAAAATAATACTAAATTATTTTAAAAACTGAGCAAAAAACAAGCTGTTAACAGGCAATGCTTTGCTTGCCATAGAAGTTGAACTGAATCTCTTGAGTTGTTTTATTTATTTTGTTTTACTCTAAGATAGAAATAGTAGGCTAAGGTTGTAAAGGATTCACTTGCTATTTACATATTTTGAAAAAATTGATATTATTATTATTTAGCTGGTTTATACTTGAATTAAGTATTATTATTTAGAAAAGACAAATATTTGATAAAATAACACAGTGACTTAGAATTAGAAAAGTAAGTTGCCATTATATAGGAAAACAACTATATTTTGCAAAATGTCTATTTCCTTTCTAGTGCAACCTGTTATTTTTTACCAGAATCTTCTTTGAGTAGAACTGTTCGGTTGAAAACCAACTGCAAGAGAAAAATAAAAATGATAATAAGATATTTTACTTCTTTCAGTTTCATTAGAACCAATCAATATCTTGGCAGGAAACTAAATTTCGTTGAGTGGGCTTGGGAGATTCCAAATCCATACCAGACAAAATGATCATATGCATATTGATCGATGATTGTACTTTGAACGAAGGTCAATAAATACATTTTTTATTTTCAAAGATGTCTTTTCGAGCCGAGCAGTAGGTTTAGAGGCATTGTCCCTGCTTCTTGTTCTGAAGACCCTGGTTTCAACCCAGCCAGCGTCAGGTTTTAATTGGAGTCTGATAAGGAATTATTATTATTATAATTAATATTTTACCAGGCAAACTATGTAACAAAGTGAAATATATTTCAATTAATTTTTAATTATATATAAAGCCCTGTTTACACTATCAAATTTTAATTGACAAAAAAATGCCCATATATAGTCATGATGTGCCTACTATTAGGCATGCCACATGTTTTTGTCAAACACGATTTTATAGTGTGGACAGGCCCTAAAACATTTAAATAGTAAACATTGAATATGGTGTAATAATTTTATTAGCTTCTTCAGCTTTCCACTTTCCCGTTAAGTGTGTGAAAAGGAACAGAGTATGGTGTTGCTATCTGTAAGTTAATTTGTATTTATCAAAATATTTGGAAAAATGTCATACTTTCTTAGCGGTGGTATCAGGGTCAACTGAAAAGAATCCATTTCTTTCAAATTGGAATTTATCATAAACTTTAGCACCTTTAACTGAAAGATCCACCAATGCTTCTGGAACAACTGTGAGTGAATCCTGCAAAGAAATAATAGAAATTCCATATGACTTCCTCGATTAACAGTTATTTACACTAAAATAATTATTCAAAACACTTATCATATTAATATTCTATAGTAAATACCCACTGATACAGATAGGTAGACTGAAGCAATGTAGGAATGCACAGGGAAGGATTTCAATTCCAATTCCACTGCGCTAAATTGCTTCCACATATCAATATCTATGAATGTTCTTCCATGAGGTCGTGACATTTTAAGACAGTAGAAAATTAACTGTATTAAGCAATTAATCAATCAATATCATTTCCGTCCTCGATGTAGCGAGTTACTCATTACTGATTGAAATCAAGGCTTTACCACAAATTTCTGTAAAAGGCTAACACACACAAAAAAACAAAAACAAAAAAACCCCCTAAAAAAAAACAAAAAAACAACCAGCTGACCACTCTATTATGTACATACTATACAAGATGTCACTCCCGAGAGACCTGGTTAAATGAACTTTGTTAACACATCTAATTTCATTTCGGCAATTACTTCAGTGAGAAAATTGACTATAGTGAGCTTTTGAAAATGCAGCACGGACGTACTCTAGGACTAAAAGCAATGAACTGTGACCGTCCTTAATACTCGTCTGCAGTTTGATCATTCGCAGTTTCGCAATTGAAGAACTAACAGTAGTGCGTGACGTCGGTTAAGCTGACACACGCCCTCTTTTTTAGGTATCCCTAAAGAGCGCTGATTGGCTGCTTGAGTTAGTTGTTCGTGATTCTCCAGACAATAAATTGGCCAAAAACAGTATGTGATTTTGCAAAGAACAAGAAGCTACGGGGGGTTGCGCATGCGCAAATCAATTTTCGTATAAGATTCCCGTCCTTGAGTCCATCCGTCGCTGATGCAAAAGCTCACTAGTAAAGCAGTGAAAATATGCAAATATTATGAACTTGCAAGAAATGTCTTAATTTCCAGGAGATTCTCACTTGTTTGCGGGAATATGGGAGGCCATCCCAATTTGCGGGAACTTGGGACCCATGTATACATATGTAACTCAATAAATATGAACAACACATAAAAATGATTAAACAACGCATAAACATTATTACTGATTACTGCATATAGTTTCAGTAATCATTTTTATGTGTTGTTCAATAAATATGAACAACACATAAAAATGATTACTGAAACTATATGCAAATTCGCTAGTTTAATTTATTATATATATATGTGGCAAAGACAAGCCAAACCAGTCACTCGTCGCAAAAATTGATTTTGGGTTATTAATACAGTGTTAGAGAGTAACATAATAGCTATAAAATGGTAAAAAAATCATTTAAATCGGACATTTCCTTATGAAGTTACAAGCGTTTAAACACACAGCTGTTTAAAGAACTATATATGAGAAATCAGCCTTCAAAGTTTATGATTTCAGGCATTTCTCATGCAGAAGAAATGTTGTTTTAATATTGCACATCGGGAAAATAGCAGCATAGAATGATGTGTAGGTATATAAAGGATAGTTTAGTGCAATAAAATAGATTTTCAAAAATTTGACATTCCAGCATGATTTGGCCATTTCTCTGAAACACGATTTGCAACGAGTGACTGGTTTGGCTTGTCTTTGCCACATATGTTTCGTTTTTTGTATTTATGTTGAGCAATGAAAAGAAAACAAGAAAAAAAACTTTACTTTATCACAATCAGTGACAAATCCTCCAGGCACTTCTGTGGGATCTTCCGGATGCTGATGACGAAATCTAAAATTGAACCAAAAAAAATCCCAAAATATTATGTAGGGGTATTCACAAAGAAAATTATAATTAAAAAAAATTGTGCAAGACAACAATGAGCATTTTTGAGAGTCCAGACCAAACAAGTAAATGGCAAAATATATACAAATACAGTTCAGGACTAAATATATCTCACAACTGATTAACGGTTGATACTTACAGCCTGCTATAAAGACGTACTTCACACTTGATTGCCTCGGAAACCCAATGAATAAATGCTTTAGGTTTTTCAGTTTTGGCAACTGGCACGCATTTGACCTTTAACTCAGTAACCCTTCCATTTTGGTCCTTAACATCAGACTCAACAGAGATGACAAGGTTGGCATACTTCAAACCTACAGGCTGGTTTTTGGTAAGACGACGGAAGTTTTTATCTTCATTCTACGGGAGGAGGGAAAAAATCAAATCACCTAATATCACTTCATCTGATATCTTCTTCTAGGTTACTTATCACACCTTTAATCAATTGTGCTGCTTACCAATAAACAAATGCATCACACTCAAGATGTAATGCTAAGTACATTCATGACTCTCAACAACAAAGAATACATTTCACATCTTGAGGTTGCATTCTGTAGTAAGACATTTGTATCTATAATTCCAATTATCAGCAGCCAGCAAAGACATTTTAAATACACCACTAAAGTTTAAAAAGCTCAATACCATGTAGGCAAGGCCTAGCTGATTTTATTATTTAAAAAAAACCTGTCATTTTCAGTGTAGTGATTGCTCCCATGCAATCTTCTTTACAAATGAAGTGAACAACTGCGATACATTGCATTTTAAATAAGGAGGAATTGAACCATAGCTATTTAAAGAAAAAAATCCAATTAACTAGTGCAAAATATGTCTATACAATCAAACTAGCCTAAGTCGAAAAATTGTCAGTCAAAGTTGAAATTATTTTCACGTCACTTCATCTTCCGTATATTTACAATGGTTAATATTAGCTGTAACTCGAATAAATTTAAGTCTAATAAAAATGAAAGTCGAACATATTTTTACATGCCAAATTGATCTGTTTTCCATTAATTATTAGTCTGTAAGTCGAAGTCAAAATCTTGACGTAAAACTTCAATCATTTTAAGCTGTCGCTGCTTTACCAACATTGCTGTGAACGTCAACAAGTGACTCATACATTTGACAATGCAGAAATTCACACGCTAAGTAAGCCCGACAAGTGACTCGTGTTTACATTGCACAGCGGTACTTTGTTTAGTTTATTTTACATGCGACTCAACTCACATTCCTCACTATTGTTTAGACATGTCATGTGGTAACGTCAACAAGTGACTAATGTTTAAGCACTGTTTCAGGTTTTGTTAGTTCTTTTTTAAATTAAAAAGTAAATTAAGTCGAAAAAAAGTCGAACTATATTTCAGTGGCACTTTAGTTTCGACAGTATTATCAATTCTAGCATCGCATCTCAAGAATCCATAGTGTAAGAACACTAAATAGCATCTGTATAGCATTGTCAATTTAGCAACAAATGAAAACATACAACATTTAATAAGTTCACTCACCTCTTTAAAATCTGACTGTTCTATGAAAAGGGTTGAGGACAAACAAACTCTATGTGTTCCCTTGCTATCATCATGGGGGATATTAGGTACATCAAATTCCAAACTCTAAAAATAAGGGGGAGAAAACACAATTACAGTTAAACTTGTTCGACTTTTCCTAACTTAAATAATTTCTAAGTTGATATTATTTTACATGCCATATTGTTGTGTTTTCCATTAATTAATGACCTGTAAGTCGAATTTCATCTGAGTCAAACAATTTTTCAATGCCATTGTGAATTCGACTTCACAATGGCTTCAACTGTATTGATTTAGATTTCATATTAAATTGTTTCATTGAACTTATTAAAAATCATAGATACTTAAACCACACATAAATATTCATCTATAAACATTAGTTAAAAATATACAGACTAAGAATATCAGAATGAAACTTTCTGCTAAACCCATATAGATACAGGTGTGTTTGAGAGACAACATGTGCGCTTGTGAGAGTCGTAGGTACAGACTGTATTTAATCAACACAATCTGATTAAATTCTGATAGACATTAAGCAATCTACAAACCTCTTTCGACGGAAAATTTATGATAGTGATTTTGATGGGGTCTAGGACAGCCATGGCGCGTGGCGCGGTATCATTCAATACTTCTCTTACACTGGCATCTAGCATCCCTGGATCGAAGGATACTTGAGACATTGTCACACCAACCTACAGAAAAATCAGTTTTAATATATACTGTATGTGAAATATGTATAAAAAACTCAATATATGAATGGACACTGTTTAAGACAAACAAGTCATATTTCCAATTCTTCTGATGAGGGTCGGAGCAAATCTTACTGAAATGTTGAGACAATCAACCAGTGGTTTTACCTTAAAAACCATAGTCTTACACATGGTGGACCAAAGTTTAATTATTTTGTTATATTTGAATTGGTTACTCTGTATATTAAAGCAAGTTATCTGGTAGTTCTGGGTAAGAATACAGTAGAAAGTGGACGAGTCAAGTGTCCGAGGGCATCGAAAGCAGCACTGATAACTACCGCCTTAACAATGACACTACTGCACTGAAGGAAAATCCAAGAAATTTAAAAACAAATAAAACAGGAAGTAATAATCATAATAATATTGAAAATTATATTAATTTACTCAAATAAGCAAGTGGCTAATCTTTAAAATGCTTAAAAAAAGTGAGTAAATGTGAACTTTGAAGAACACATTACTTCTATCTTTTCTTTGCTAAAATTGATATGTAGACAATGAAGATGTGTGTTATTTTTCATGGGACAGTATTTTTGGTGCGAATCAAACCAAGGATAACCCACTAAAGTCCTAAAACTTATTTCCAGTGGGGTCTTCTGGTGGTGATGAGCAGCACACCGGGAGACAATCCCCTACTCTTTTCCAAAGAGTGTACTGCGTACTTTAACGTACAAATGGGCCATAATGCGCACAGGACCAACAGTTGTCTCAACCGAAAGATGGTGCGCTATAGTAACAGCCCTCCAGCTGAAACACCTGGAGAGTAGCGATGGGAATTAAACTGGGGACCTAGAGATCTCCACGGTTCAGTGCATGCACAGTGGCTACCGCCAGTTTAGCCGATCGAGCTAAGCTGTTACACAGATATGCCTCACAAAAAGCGCTTGATAAGTTTTCTCTGGCATACATCTTGTGTAAATACTGTCTTGTATGAATGGGGTGTTAGACTTACTTTAGCACAGAACCTGTTGATGGCTTCTGGTGGAAAGCCTCGTCGACGGAGAGCAGTCAGTGTATACAAACGAGGGTCATCCCAATCACTGTAAAGTTAAATATTACACAAATATGTTAGTTGATATATTCAGTATAGTTTGATTAGGATACTGTAATATTAGGATAAAAGCCCCGCTTTAAATAAACTCCCCCACCTCCTCCAAAGCATCATTGCACCTCCTTTGAATAAATGCCTCAGGTGTTTTTCCTTGAATAAGCGCGCCCCTATGACTGTAAAGAAAACTAATAGAAACAACACTATTCACAACACATAGTAGCAATGTTCTACTCTAGAAGAATTACATTTTTTTCTAACCTGGTTGGGATCAATAGTGTTATGATCACACAAAAAAACACATTTTGATGTGTTGAAGAAATTAAGGGAGTTTATTTGAGTATATATGTATCCTCTTTATAAAAAATTAAACACCTCCTTCAAATAAACACCCTCTTAAAATCATTTCAACAATAAATGCCCAGGGACGTTTATTCAAATAACGGTATCTAACTATTATTTTATCGTTTTCTCACTGATATTTCATCTTTGGTTTTTTGTTATGTTTGTGCCATATATACTGCACACATGTATGGTACATGTTTTATCTGTTCTTTGATAATACAGTAGTAGAAATTATCAAGAGCAATCTTGAATATCTTTAAGAAAGGAATTCAATTTTTATCAACAATAGAAGAATCTGAAGCACCCCACCTAACAATCCCTTGAGAGATGAGTTTTCCAATCTTGCGTTTTGACACCACCGTATAATTCAAATTAAGTCGGCCATATTCCCACTGGACAGGGCAGTAAAGGTCTAAAGCGTTACACAACCAGTAGTAGGAAGAACGTCTGAAAGTACAAATTAATAAGACATTAGTAACCCACACAATGCTAATAGCAGTGACAACAAAACTAAAAGTAATCATTTGTAATCATTTTAATTACATTGTATAAACTGATAAAGTGCAATATCATACAATCATAATTATTGTATAAGAGTACAAAGAACTATACTATACAGGTACTATATTTAGAATTTGCATCACTTTTGGAGTTAGGAGCATTTGTTTTTGTTTTTTTTTATTTATTTATTTTCAAAATTTACTGTTGAATTTCCTGCCATTTTCAACATTATATGAGCATTCAAGATGGTGCTCATCAGCTGAATGGAGCTTTCCAGAGTGTCCATCAAAATTACTGACCAATCACAACAGGGCATCTAACAAGCACATGTGTCTCACAACACACTTGTGTGCGTATGTTTTCCACTCATTTTGAGGACCTTAGCAACAATATCCAAGGGGTGGAGCTTTAGCAGAAAGATCTATTATAATAACAATGGCTGAAAAGAAATAAGTATCTATGGTACTACATGTATTTTTAAAAACTACAATTCAATAAACACATTCCGCAATGATTGTTTATGACTGTGTATCAATACCACTACGTCATTGACCAACCTAGCGTAACATGTCTATTAAAATGTTTTAGTACGAACTGTAAATAAGATTGCTAGTAAAATTTAAGAACATCATGAAAATAAATTTTAAAAATATCATTAAAGACAGAACTGAAAGTAATAGCAAAACTTACAATAAATATCACTTGTATAAACATATTGTACTTCACACAGCTTAATAGCCAACATAAAGTGAATTCTGTCTTTCACTCCTTGCCAATGTCAAGGTTTCACTTTCGTATTGAATAGAAATTTTATAAATGAGAAAGCAAACCTCACTGTTAGGCTTGTCGGCATATACCATACTTGCAACAGAAGTCTTTCAATTATAGATACAACTTCTGTCTTCGTGGAAGAAGGGTAGTTACGTGCTATTACTCAGGGACAACGACTCTTATTAATAGATTGTGAAAAGTATTTTTATTGGAAAACATTTAATACCAGGATTTAAGAAGAGAACGTAACAGTATCAACAGATGGTAGCAACATTGGAAGTTGCTTAACCTGTTTAACATGATCAAAACTCTTAATTTTACTGAAGAACATACTACATCACGTGTATCACTACCAGATCTTTTGTAAGCTCTTTCTGGAAGGGAATGAGACAATGAAGTTCTTGAAGCTACTGATAGTGACAATACTACCTCTTGTTATATCACAGATAAATGAGGAGAGTAAGGATGATAGAAGACGAATTGATAATAATCTCAATTGTACTGTAACATTATTAGATGATGTGAATATGCAATTAAGTTGCAAGGTGCAATCACAGCATGAAGAATCCATACAGATGTCACTTAATATAGCTAGTTACGAAAATGAAAAATATAATCATCTTGTATATAATGTTTCAAAAGCATCTATCCAGGAAAATGATTCGTTTGATTGTGCATCAAATAAATCTAATAACGCACAACAATGCAAGTTCACATTTTTGAAGCCAAGCGTGAAAATGAGGCAAATACCAGAAAGGGCCTCTGTTTCGTCAAGTGTTGAGTTCAATTGTGTAGCAAGCTCAGACTTCAAAGGTCTTACTATAAACTGGTCAAGTTTACCTCCTAGTATGAATTCTAAAATTGCCAATGACAATCAATCTCTTTACATTACTGATATCAAGGCAAGTGACAATGGACTTGAGGTTAACTGCACTGTGACTGACCCCCTTGGGTGGACAACATCACACAGTGTCCATCTGACACTAATACTGTCTGATTCGCTTCTTATCTATGCCATTATTGGAGGAGTAGGGGGATTATTAATGATTCTAATCATTACTGCTTCTCTCATATGTTGGAGAAAAAATACCAATACCCAGGATCCAAATTTGAGAAAACATCAGACAGAAATGAGCAAATCCAGAGGTTTGGGTAATTTAAGACATACAACAAATGACTATGATTCCCAAAACGATATCAGCAGAGTGCGCGAAGACATCCCACCAACTGACACAGTACAAAGGTATTCTTCTGAAATATACTATGAAAACACTCCAAATCAGGTCGAGGAAGATGAGGAAGGAGTAAACCCTGACATACTTTATGACTCTCCGTATGATGATTATCAGTCAAGTAAAAGCGGCAAAAACAATAAACCAAAAGACAATCATAAAAACAAGTTGTTTTTTCAACCAGATGATGAGGTATATGAACCAATAGGAGACGAGATATATGACATGGCAGACGATACAAATACTGAAAGCCATAGTATTACAAGTGAACTCTATGAAATACCAGATATAGAGGCAGGTATGCAGGCAACATCAAATGATAATTTCTATGAGATTCCCAATGAAAATGTTATTGAAGCATTTGATGAAGTAACAATTACACACATACCTACACAGTTACAAGCAAGGGAGGGAGAAGTCTCAAAACAAGGCCATAAGAATGCAAAAGTGGTAGAAAAACAGCTAAGTGTTATACAACAATTAGAGAATATACACAGATCTAAAATACCTAAAGACACTGCAATTAAAACACCTTTATCTCTCAAACCATCTGTGCTCACCCAAGTTATGGGTCCGAAACCTTTAACCAGATCACCATCTAAGTTACCAAAGACGCCAGCAACTGAGAAAGGCAAACCTCCACCAACTATACTACCTAAGACTACCAAGACGGCAGTTGAGAATGTCTTATCTCCATCACTGGTTTCACCGAAGTTTAACAGATCTGCAGATGAGCAGTTAGTAACTTCACCACCAGTATTACCCAAGGTACAGAAACCTAAAGCTAAGCATTTAGCACCTTTTCCGGTATTAACCAAGATTAAAATACCTCCAGCTGACAATTCAGTACCTTCTCCATCAGTGTTAACTAAGGTAAACAAATCTGAAGTTAGGCCTTTAGTAAGTTCTTCGCCAGTATTAAGCAATGTAAATAAATCTAAAGCTGAACATCTAGCAAACGCACCTCCAAGCAAGGCAAAAAAACCAGCAGCTAAGCATTTAGTAAATTCTCCACCAGTATTACCCAAGACAAAGAAAGCTTTAGCAGAGCATTCAGTAAATTCTCCACCAGTATTACCCAAGGTAAAGAAACCTGGAGCAGAGCATTTAGTAACCCCACCACCAACATCATGTAAAGTGAATATTTCTAAAGTCAGGAGTTTTAAATCCTCCTCTCCCAAGTTGAATGTTTCAACAGATCAAAATTTACAATCTTCATCACCTGTTCTACACAAAGGGAGCTCATCTACAGAAGAACAGGCAAAGTTGTCGTTGCTTGCTTCTTTGTCACAGGAAATAAAACACCATTCACCTTATATACCTAGCATACCAAGTTCAATTAATCACAAAGAAATCATAGATGAAACAGAGGCATATGAGGTAGCATTGGAGGCAGATGAATCTCTACAGTCTACAAATTATGTAACAAGCCTTAACGAACAGAAATATGAAAACTGGTGCATTAAAAGTAAGAAGGGACAAGAGAAATAGTTATTTATATATTTTATAGCAATGTATATATATATATATATATATATATATATATATATCTTCACATATAAACAATTATTAACATTAATTATTTTCACTTATTATAAAAATGATTATATTTATACAACTTTTTATATACTTTTCCTAATAGTATTTAAATATAGTTATACATTTATTATCAAATAAAATAATTAGTTTCTTCTATGAAATAATTAATACAAATGTTTATACATTTTTAAGATAGACAGAACACATACAAAAATAGTATTTGTATTTTCTATGTTTAAGATATCTAAGATTTGTAAAATTATATTTTACAAGGAAGTAGATAAACATAGAAAACAAAAGAGAAAGCTTCTGTAAACATTTTTATATTTTATTAGATAAGGAAATAAAAAAAATAGTTTCATTGCATGCATTCTGTTGAAATTTAATCATATTTTCCAATTCAAGATCAAGATATTTTCGAAGAACTTCAATTGAAACTCTAAATGTATTTACTATACTTGTCGCAATAGACCATTTTATCGGATTTATTTTGAAACAGTGCTGCCAACGTCTCTCAACTCACTGGGTGACTTCCAGTGGCCTAGCCTGTGGCCTAGGGGAGCACCGCGCAGCGGATAGCACCGCTAGACCTGCGCTACAGCAGCAGTAGACAACAAAAACAATCTTGCTAATTACTGTATATGTAAACATTGAAATAGCTTTGTAAAACTCAGACTTGTTTTTAATTTAAACATTTTGTGTTTTTTTTTTTTTAAGTTTTCAAATATTTGTGCTCGATAGTAATTTAGTTTTATCTATGGTGTTTTGGTCCATGGTGGTAACTAGGTAGAGCGAAATGCTAGGCCTCAGAAAGTTTGTGGGATGAATGGTGTATACATTAAAACTTTCAACAATAATGATAAACTATATGGAAAAAATGATGCAGGGACACACCCAAGGTTAACTGAAAAAGTGATAACTCATTTAGAAGGAGAAAAAAAAAACAAAAACCAACTATAAAATTAGACTTTTAATATAAAATTGTAAGGAATGGTAGATTACAACTTTAAAATAATGAGATTGAAAAATTAGTGGCTAAACAATGCCATTGTAACATATTACAGTATAAATATATATGGGGAAGAACTTCATTTAGCTTTTTAGAATTTATGAAATTCGATATATGAGGAAGTATAGTAAGAATATATTGTTAAAAATGATAAGCGGAGAATGCTGCTTATAAAAAATGTATAATAGTTAAAAACTTGTAGAGGAAGTAATATAAGAACTAATTATTATAATACATTCCTGTCTGCGAAAGATAATATACATAAAACAATAAAACTCAATCTATGAATTGCCTACTTTGTATTTTGAAGTTACCTAGGCTAATACACTATCAACTTTGATGAATGTGAATTTTCACTTACCTGGATTGGAATTCTTTAGTGCAAAGTGAATGAGAAATATTCTCAATAGAGTCACATAAGCAATGAGTATAGTCGTATGTGGGATAAATACACCTGTAGAGAGAGACAACAAAGGAGGTTGAAAAACATAATGCAACAGAAGGTAAACGGAGTAAGTACTACATAGCTAGTGTTACTACCCCATGCAACACCCCTTCATTACTGAGCATGCTAAATAATTGGTGGATGTGACTAAACTAAATGACTAAAGCTGGTAACATAGTGTGTCAATGATTATAAATCGACATGATTTCATGCCGATTGCTGTGACGAGGTGATTGCCATGAAATGCTTGGATGGATTTATTCGTTGTAAACACCAAGGATAACCCACGAAAGTCTAGAAGAAGACTTATTTCCAGTGGGGTCCTTCTGGTGATGACTGGGCAGCACACCGGAAGACAATCCCCTACTCTTTTCCGAAGAGTGTACTGCGTTCTTTAACGTGCACATGGGCCATAATGCACACAAGACCAACAGCTTAAATGCCTCATCCTAAAGACGGTGCACTATTGTATCTTGCACTTCAGCCTTCCAGGTGAAACACAACAATTTTTTCCAGGCCTAGAACGAAGATAGATCTGTCAGCTGATACAGAGTCTGCCCAGCACACTGTGCATGAGCAACACGATTCAGTTTAGAAAAGAAGTTATGTACCAAGCATTTCCGGTGCGGTGATGAGGAGTAAATTTGATACGATAGGCTACTGGATCTTTCTTGCCCTCCTCCAGTACCGTCTTCATACGGAGAGTTGCATCCCCTTCTTCTATCTTACCCTTCCTCATATCCTTTATGAAAAGAAATGTGGAAAGTAAACATTTAAACAATCTTCACACTTAAATCTATACTGGCTGTGTTGAGCGAAAGCCATGTTCACACTATCAAATCTAAATTTGGTCATGATAACATCATATCATGACCATATATGGGCATACAAAACATAGTGTAGACAGAGCATTATAAACCCAACAATCAAATTGAATATTTTAGTTATTCAGGGGTGGATCCAGGAATTCGAAATAGTGGAGGCCCAAGGAGTGATCTTTGATGGAGCGTATAAACCACCTCAGCCTCACCTAGCTTTATGGTGCTGAGGTACATAATGTTATGGCTATGGCACGTTTGGATGGCTGGAGACAGGACTCTCAGACTCTTCTACCCTCTTACAGAGGGCAGCACAACATAAGTTAGTGAATATAAAATAAAACAATGTACAATCAAAATGGAGAAAATTATATAAGCACATAAATACCACAATCACAATCAGAATATTTTGTCCCCCAATATAATAGGTTAATGTCCAGGATATTTTTTTAGAGGGCAGGGAAAGAAGAAACTGAAGGGGTTCAACAGTGTACCTCAAATAATTGCAGTGACTCATTGATAGGTCTGTCCCTCCATGGGGAGTCAGGTGGATTGAAGCCTTTGATCTCCTCAGCTCTCTGGTGACAAACATAAGCATGTCCCCTTCACAGAAAAGAATGGTTCAACATTAGAATCATGAAATTTGTATATCAAGCAACATCAAAAGAAATAAGAATAAATTAATAATTAATATTCAATTAATTAAAATGCGATAAAATAGAATAATATAATATAATATATTATAAGCCAGGACACTATAAGATTTTTGCTTATGAGACTAAACAATCTCTCATCTTATCACATCCATATATGGGAATGATGTCATGTCAGGTTCATATATTATGGGCAAAATCATGTCTTTTAAATAAAATTTCATAGCATCGATACAACCTAACAATGACTACCTCATAATGTCTGGCCAAATGCTGTCCGTTGAGTCTGAAAGACAATAATGTGTCAATTTATGGGCAAATCTTATGTATTTGTCGCATAAAATTTGACATGTGGATAGAAACTAACGATGACTGCCTCACAATGTTTGATCAAAAACTATCTTATGAATCTGACAGACAACAAACTGTGTCAATTTTCCATATATGGGAATGATATGATATAATATCCATATATGGACATTATGATGTCATATCACAGCCATATATGGTCAAGTCTCAGTTTTTGTTACATTGAATTTGATACTGTGGATAGAGCCTTAAAAGAGTTCCTACCTTTTAATCAACTCAACAGCGAAGTCATACAACTCCTGAAAGAAATCTGAGGAGTGAGTGATCATCCATGGTTTATAACCGAGCCACTCAACCATTTCACGGATACCAACAAAGAATTTCTCCTCCTCCTTCTCTGGGTTGGTATCGTCGTACCGCAGGTTGCATTTTCCACCATGGGCACGAGCATATCCAAAGTTGAAGTTGATAGCTTTAGCATGCCCTATGTGCAAAATACCATTTGGTTCTGGGGGGAAACGGGTGCGAACCTGCAGGAGAGAGTTTACTTTATCAACTAAAAATGTTAAAAAGGTTTAAACATAATGCAAAATAAAAAACGATTTTTTTTTTTGTATAAGAGGCCTCTATTTTCTCTTTTATTGCATTACCAAACACAACATTTAAGGCACATGTAGAAAACACAGATATATGCCTGGTAATACATATATAAAAAACAGATATACATATAAGTTGAAGTAATATTTTGCATACCTCTCCATTGGTTTCCTTCAAATGTTGTTTCATTAAATCCATGGTCTTAGGTGTCACAACATATCCTTCTGTTTTATAATTTTCACCTGTTGATAAAGAAGTTTGGAGGCTGGTGGTATTTAAAAACATTTGTTAATAATATTCAATAGTGTTTTGACTAATTATGAGAATCTGATAGTAGCCACTGTGTGTGCGCTGAACCATGGGAAACTCTCTAGGTCCCCAGTTCAATTCCCATCGCTGCTGTACTTGTGTTTCAGCTCGAGATAGCTATACGATAGCGCCCCGTCGGATGAGACGTTTAAGCCATTGGTCCCATGTGCAATACGGTTAAAGGGAAAAACTCTTGGAAAAAGAGTAGGGGATTGTCTCCCGGTGTGCTGCCCAATTCACCACCAGAAGGACCCCACTGGAAACAAGTCTGCAGACTTCCTGGGTTATCCTTGGTGTGATTCACACTGAAATACTTATTTATGTTTATGTTTGAATATTTTTATTATTATTAAACTGATTGAAGAAAATTATCTTTTTAATCGAGTAACTTACACAATTAGGTCAATAAATAATAAACAATTTCTACAACAGAAGCTTAAGGACACTCTTCACAAGTTAACATTTTCTCTAGGTGGAGACGGAAGTAGATAACAGGCAAATTGATGTGGTAGGATTTCAACTCCTAGCCTTACAGTCACACTGCAACTATTATGTTAACCGTTAGTTCCCTCACCTGGCTTGTGGAATTTTAAAGCCTCTCCACACAACTGTTTCATGTCCGTATATTCTTTCTCAGTCTTCTCCTCGGCTGATGTATCCTTCTTTTCCTTTGGTTTCTTATCCTTGTTTTTTGATTTACCAGCTTTAGGATCCTAAAAGAAAATAAATTTTTATATTACATTTGCTATTTTTTTAGGTGTTACATCTATATAGAAGTATTCATTTTATTTAATTGAATCAAACAATCAACCATTAATAGTAAGATGGTCTGTGTTTCCGATTACAGTTATTTCTGTTTTGTTTTTATTTTGAATGTTGGGGGAAAAAGCTCACCTTTGGTTTTTCCATATCAGCAGCTGTTTTCGGTCCGAGAAGGTCAAGCATTTGCATATCAATCTCATTCTTTACCATCTTAGTATCAGCCCACTTCAGTCGCTGACGTACCTCACCTGTGATAATTGAAAAACCAATGAGAAGCACTGTAAAATCACCAGAACAACACAGAATATTCTATTCTATTATTTACATTTATATAAAACAACAGTCTCTATGCAGTAAATAGTTTCCAACCCTTGTTGACAGGGAACAACTGACATTAAACTGGTCAGCATCCACCTTTTGTTCAGCTATGATCTTTCTGGTGCAGCACCAAAACCCTCAAATTCCCTACACATCGGCGAATGGGAAAAAAACATCCTGGTACTTCTCCCATATGGGACTCAAATTATGGACTTCCATTAAAAACCAATAGGGAACCCAAAGAAAATAAAATTTGTGTTGCATCTGTATGGGTCATATATACTGTTGATAAATAATAGCCACCTGAAATCCACATACTCTACATTCTTACCCATAAGCAGCCCAGTGTTGTAATGGTACCTCTTCTCCATTAAATTGGCTTTGTGTTTTTCCAGAACTTCTTCTACCTTTGGAGAATGAGATATAAAACAGAATAGAAAAGAATATTTATTAGCGAAACAATCAAAAGACAATGATACAATTCTAAAAGGTACTGTAGAGCCCTATATTTTTGCAATTTTACAATTTTAAATATTTTGCGACCTTTTATTTTCGCGATTTTACAATTTCCAGTCATTTTTAACATGATTCAGAAACCTACCATTATGTTTTTTTTAGCCTACAGTATATTACAGCTAGAGCTCCCGATTTTGGTGGGTTTTCCATTATTTTTTTAGCAATCTCTACCCTCCCGATTTTCAGACTAACTTAGGCAGGCCTAGGCCTACATCAGCTAGGCCTATAGGCCTACTCAGTTTGTCTGTGTAGAGGCTTGACAAAAAATTTTCAAAGCAACATGTTCTTGTTATAAATCTTGCAGAAAATGTAGGCTTTACATTAACATGATATAAAAGTGAGAAATACACTGTACTGCCCTAGCCTAGTTATACAGTAGTTTCATTGGAATCTATAGATATTAAAATATCAATGATTATTTCATTCTTGTTTCTATTTGACAAATACCTATGATTTGCCCATACTGTATATGGTATCATCATGTCCATTAGGCAAATAACAAATTAATTGCATTTTATACAATATTACTTTATAGCCTTGTGGCTATTACTGGTATTTTAACTCATATGCAGCTACCATCCTACTCATTATCACAAATAATACAAATACAATAAATACAATGACATACTGTGTCTTCAATCTCTTCAGGTGTAACCACAACGCCAATTCCACACGCTTCTTCAAACGCTGTTACATCAATAGGATCGAGGGGATTGCTACGAAAGTACTCCAATGATGCTATCAATAAAGAGCAGACAAATTTGTTGATTGATGACAACACATAGGATAAGGGTGGGGAACTCAATCCACATTTTTTAAATTTATGCAAATATGCTTAAAGGTCCACAATTCCCTACCCTTACCCTACTATCATTTGGACAAATACATTTAGTTATAGTATATGAAGGATTAAAAATATAACCAGTCTGTGTAGTTAGAAGCTGGGAAAATGCAATTAAGAGATAATTATCAACATATTGATAACAGATCAAAATATTTTGGTTTACTATACGACACCATCCTAAACTGATTAACTAGCCAATTTATGGGGCTATGCAAATAATTGATTTGATACCACTTGCTTTATCCTATTAACTAACAATCTTCAACCATTTAACTAAAACCCAAGACCAATTCCAAATTTTCTGGTGCCAAATGTGGTTCCAAATTAGAGGGTGAAATGCATTTTTATTTATAATTATTTTCCCAAAAAGTAGCTGCTAAGACCATGAAACCCTGATGCAAAAAGTGGTCTCTAATTGCAGGCAGGCAGGCAGTTCTTGCATTTGAATTAACAGAATCCAAAATTAGAAAAGGAAGTGAAAATGTGCAGATTGTTTTTACCAGTAAGCTGCGCCTCTGACGTGATCATCTTCTTGATGACATACTCAATGATGAAATTATTCCTCTTCTTATTTTTCAACCTGGTAGCAATGTGATATAGTAGATTCCCAACAGATTTTTCAATACCAGCTCCCTTATTTTGTTTCAGAGCCTACAAACAAAAATTACAAACATTTCCCTTTCAATTTTTTTAATCAGTCCAAAATATTGAGATGCCTCTCGGCAGGAGGTAGTTTTTCACTGTAGTTTGGGCTTAATAAGGTCAAATAACATTAAAAATAAGTTTCACACCCCCACCTTAAATTTTTGAGCCTCATGAAAACATTTACTACTGATCTGAATGATTGTCAAAGCTTAAGATGTGATGGAAACATAAATGGAAGAATACATTGCAAAGATTAACTTTACTACTTTTATAAAAAAAAAAAAAAAAAAAAAAAAAAAAAAAAAAAAAAAAAAAAAAAAAAAAAAAAAAAAAAAAAAAAAAAAAAAAAAAAAAAAAAAAAAAAAAAAAAAAAAAAAAAAAAAAAATCATTTATAGATACCAAGCATGTAAGAGTATCGGTAGTACTAGATTGGCATCGTAAACGTCTATTTAACATTTAACATTTTTGTACGTAAAACCCAGGCTTGTTTAATATAGCTCTTACAGAAGTAGTCAAATATTTTGTTAATTTCATTCTGGAAAGCATAAACCTTCAAAGACCTGATTGTTGCATAACCTCTCAAAATATTTTCACATATAACATAAGTAAGAGGCTGACGCAATCCATGGATGAGTCCAGCAATGACCGATAGTAATAGGCTAGGCCCCTAGGCTAGGGCCTATTTCTAAGGAGGCCCTAGTATTTTAGGCGCCTGCTACACGTGTTTTCCCATGCATATGCTAGGCCTAGTGGCATCAAATTGATTTACACACCTGGTTAAACAATATAAATATGTTAATACCTGTTCAATAACTTGCTTGAGGTCATTTGATAATGAATCATTCTTAACGGTTTCTTTGGCTTTCTGTTCACTTAGTCCAATACTGGTAAAAAGGGCGAGATTAGCCTCTCTGTGATTTGCCATGTTCACACACAAATTCGTCCACAGTTGTTACAGCTAAGAGCAGAGCAGAGCTCAGCCAGAGAACCTTGGCCGTATTCGACTGGTCATTCTTCGTTAAACCACGCACACCTGCGCAGAGCGGTAAAATCCTACTCAACTTAGACGACCAGTCGAATAGAAAACTTTTAAATACTCGACAAAACAAAATGGCTGCATAGTTACCGCGATACACGTTGCGTAATCAACATTGCTTCAACTTGTGGTAGTCTAAGTTTTTCGTAAAAAAAGTATTTTCATCCAGTTTTTTAATTCTGTTTACCTACAATTATTTTTTGACTCCATGTGGGTAAATATTATAATTTTTATTTTATGAATTTTAATCTAAGTTATATTAACGCAAATGTTGTTTATAAACTCACCAATCGGCCATGTTTTTTTTTGTGTTTTTTTTTGGTCACGTGGATAACTTAACGCTGATTAACGCACTCTGGTTTACGTTAATTTTCGTTGTCAACGAAATCTTTCCAACGAACCCATCGAATGAAAATAATACTCAACGAAAATTCGTACTCAACGAAATGAAACAGTCGAATTCTAAACATTATATTTATTTATCTAATACGTAATTTTTATACAAGTATATAGAGTATATAATATTATTTTATTTTTTATATTTATTTTTTGCACACTTCATTTTCTATTGTTATAGGAAGAAGATTATATATATTTAGGTAAAATATATTCTATGTATATAAGCCTATGTTTGTATCAGTTGCCTTTTATGTCCTATTATCTAATAGCATAACATTACATGATCTGCTGTTGATTGAAATTTATTTCATAATGGCTTGTTTATTAAATGTGATTAAGCCACCAGGATTAATCACACAACAGTATCCTTTTATAACTCTAATTCAAAAAATGATTTGAAGTTGATTTGCAAGGTACTACATGGCTCAACTATTTTTTACTTAATTGGTAAAAATCGCACACAAATCATACGACGTCACTGACAACGCCGGGGACAACAACTCGATTTTGAGATTCATTTTCCGAATAAAGTTATACTAAATAACTTCTAATGACGAACTACTGTCTTCAGTTGTCTTTGTTGGTCATTTAACTGTCATTTTATCTATTTTATTATGACATTGGTTTCAAATGAAATGACTGACAACTTTGGTTTACTATGATATCGATGTTTTAATAAGTACATAAAACTATGTCACAAATACGTATGCAACAATGCACAGGGACACCACGCTGTTTTTGTATTTTTCTTGAAATCTGTATGCCTGATCACCATCATCATACACAATATAATAGATTCAAGTAAGATGTTTCAAATGATATAAAAATGTATGCAAACATGTCTTTGGAACAGTTTTTTTTTTCGAATTTACCTTAACGTCGATTCTGTAGACCCAGGTTGTTTTACAATATTCCGTCTGTTATAAAAATCGGAAGAATTTAAATTCAAAATACAGTAGCTCATCTAAAATGATAAGTTATTGACTTCTAGAAGAAAACAATTTTCACAGATTTACCCCACAGCAGAGACCTTCACAGGGACCTACACAGGAACTTGGACAGAGACTGGTCAGTGACCTAGCTAGATAGGGACCACAACTGGAGTGACCTGGACAGACAGTGGACGTAGGCAGTTAAATTCCTTGTTTATAAACTTTTATTATCCAATGATATGATATAACATTTGGAAGAGAAGAGGAGCTGCTACCAGTCTTAATTCACTTCAATGGTGGGCATTTTACTTTTCTTATCATTTACATTATAAATACAGGAATTCATTAATAGGGGGTTGTGAGATCCAATAAAATCAAAGTTTTGGTTACCAACAAGTACGAAAGTGGATGGCAAATGGGGCTTCCCCGTCCTCATCAGCAGCCAAAACATCACTAACCAAGTGTGAAGCATCACCTTTTCACTCCATCCTTCATAGAAAGTTCAAAATTCTGCTGCTCACGTTTGTAACTTGACTATATCAGTCCCATACTAAAGTTTCTCCAACTGCTATTTTAAAACCACTTTCTGTCCATATCCATTACTGACTGTGAACTTATTTATCAAAATTTATATTTTTTCTTGCAGAATTATTAACCAGGGGCACATCCCAAGATTAGAAAAATCTGATATGGTCAATTCTATAATAAAATCGATACGAGTACACAAATTACAGCGCTTTCAATACCATTTTCTTTTTTCTCCTCTTCCTCCTTTATTTCTTCTTGGTTTTCTTGATCTGCACTACATCAAGAGACAGCTGCTTATGACCAGTCATGCAGTGTGTAACTGAGGCTTACAATAACACACAGAAATGATACAAGACAATCTTCTTTTATATTTGTTTTGTTTAATATTTCAAATACTTTTCCCCTGGACTCAACTGATCCCTGAAATTGATAGATCCCTTGTTGAGGAGCACACACAATGATGATTTTCGCAACACTTCTAACTATATAAAGCTTTTTAAAATCAATCTCTTTCACACTGGCTAAATCACACTCCATAATTAAAAAAATATATACTGTACTCTACCATTTACCATTCTGTCTGTGCCTTGCATATCTACATTAGAAGTGTTGTATATATTTATACATTACTATATATGCATTGTATTTATCATTATCATTATTATACTGTTCGTGTTCAATTGCAGTTTAGTAATATGTGAGCCATGATCTTGGATTGTCGATGAGTATCCTGTCGATATTATCCTGTGAGATTCCCTTCAACAACATTTTTGGAACCACATTTTCCAGGATGTGGCTGTAACCATGGCCGCCATATTTCAGCTGGAATAGAATAAAAATGAAATTAATTTGATGAATATGTATGGCAATACATGCATATGCATAAATACATACAGGGTACCACTTTATTATCCCATAGCTTATGTTCTCACACGGCTGCTAACGGTTAGCAGGATCCGGATCCTGCTAACCGTTAGCTGCCGTGCGTCCATACGAGAAAATCCCGATCCGGATACCAAAATAAGATGATCGAATCACTGGCCAATAAGAAACTGGTAATTATAAACGCGTACGTGTGATTGGTTAATGATAGCGCTTGCTAACCGATAGCGGTATCTGGATACCCCTAACGGTTAGCGCTAACCGATCGGCCGTTCTCACGCAGGCGCTAACAGTTAGCGCTAACGGTTAGCTCCCGATCCGGATACTAGGGCTCTCGTGAGAACCAGGCTATAGTCTTCAAGATATTACTAATGAAGATTAGGCCAAAAAAAAGGGTTGTGTTGGCTAAACACAGTGACAATTTGGATTTGAGATTGATTAGTCAGTCACTTTGAAGTTAGGGAAAAACGATATATTGGTTTACTGTATAATTTCAATATCTACAAGCTTTCCAAACTGGACCTAAAACAATGTTTTAGCCAATAGCCTGGAATATGCGCATGTCCACAAACACACAAGTTTATGTGTATGTTTACACTGCACAAGGCCAACACCCAATATCCATGGGGGTGGGGCTAATGCTCATGAATATTCAATATTTTGAACTTGGTCCAACCTACCAGTTGATGCTTTGCATGTACATCATGAGAGATCAAAACTTGGTCAGCATAGCCTTCATCTACAAGCCCCTTGATAATATTAATGCGTTGAGCATCTGAAATGTATTCCATCATTCCTGGTTTAATTTCATAATAAGAGTTCTCCAATCCAAAGAAATCATACTCTAAATAACAACCATGCTTCGCAAATTCCAATGCAGTTTCCACAGTTGGACAACAACCTGTAAACAAACCAATACCGGTACACAAAATAAAATTGTATGCTTCTCCTGGCATTGTGCATAACCTCTGTTTATCACGGCCACCAAGAGGGGAAACTGTAACAGGGGCAAGGGTATTGGCCCTAAATTATGAGCGTGAAATGCGAGAAAGATTGCGCCTAAGGAGCAAAATTTTTTTGTTCGGGGGGGAGGGGGTGCCTGTCAATCTGGAGGGGGCCCATTAATTATTAGGGGACCCATGCCATTATTGAGGGCCCATGATAGTAATTATTATTTTTGAAAGAAATATTGAAAAAAAAAAATGCTACCTGCAATTTCTATGGACCCCCGAGATCTTTCTCCCTGCACCTACACCCCTCTCGGTGGCACTGTTGTTTATACAGTACACTCGTGTATAAAAAGTAAATTAAAATATATGCCTACGGTCCACATGAGACATGACTGTGTGTCTGGCAACACCCCCAGCTTCTTGAAATACTCTGAGGTGGTCAATGGGTGCCATCAGTGGGTCAATGATGCTGATGCCTGGATGAATGATCACTGGACATCCAAGTTCTGATTGAGCAATACCGGAAGCACAGAGGACCTTCTGTTCATTTGCTGTAAGATTAGAATGGACACAATCATTCAATATATTTATAAACAATGACATCACAGGTAGAACAAATTACATAAAGTTGTAGCAAGAGCTCTTGACCTATTGTCCGTAGCAGGGGCGGATTTAGGGGGTAGATGTGTATAAGAGACAGATATAATAGTAAAAAAAGAAAAAAAAAAAAAAAGGGAAAAAGAAAAAAATAATAGCCCAGAATGTCTCAAATGTTACGTTCGGGCGTCTAGAACACAAAAATTTCGCGGGACCCCCTACGACAGTGTTGTCTCAATCGGCCCAACTTCCGGCCCCCCCCCCTTTTGGACATTTCTGGATCCGCCCCTGCGTAGTGCATCCTTCTTTCTTGGTATTTGGGCGAGACTGTAATGCTGTGAGGGAATTGCCACTCCTCTGCACAGCGACTAAATGAAATAGCGCTATGCAAGTGCTGTAATGTATGCTGTGTATTAAGTGCTGTAATGTATGCCTCTGTTTACCTTCCCTGCATAATGTTGAAAACTATTTATTCTCCTGGGTAGAGAGAGACACAAATGCTGACAGTGTCTTGCCCAAGGATACAAGCAACTTGCACAGCAAGGGTTTGAACCCCCTAACATAAGTTTGAAATTCTGAGCCATAAACACTGGGCCAACCACTTATACTTATTACACTATTATAACAAAAATAATTTGATCGAGGTCAACCATGCATCAACTTACGATGGACTGGCCAGGAACAACCAACCTCTCCAATCACACCACATTTAATATTTGTCCCATCAGCGCCTTCTGTTAAATCACTTTTCATTTCAGTCACTATCTCTTCTTCTGTCATTGTGTTTAGTTTGGTGGGCATTGAGGTGCAGAGATAGTAGCCTGATAAACAACAATACAGAGATGCCATCTTAGAGTAGACGACATGCATGATAAATATAATTTACAATCTTATTCCCTACAGGGGGTATGGGGAAATGCTTCCCTGGGAAATTGGTTTCCCCATCTGACACATTCTTGAAAGTTTCAGCTGCAATCTGTGTCAATTAACAAAAATTGGGAGATAAAAAAGAACAGATAAAAATATTAGACCAAGATTGTTTGTTTTTAAAGTGTTACAGTATTATCAATCCAATTTCAATTCAACTCAACAATTATTTAGTTAGGTTTTTGGTCTTTGTCATTATCTCAAGTAGAATGCACCAGAATTAGTAGGTCTGACACTGAGAAATTTTGTGGAAGATTTTAGCAAGCAGTAAGTCAGTAAGTCTGAAGTCAAGTCCATATTATCTATGAAATAAGGTATAAATAAATTAACATTTTGTAAAGCAGACCTGTTTACCTGTGCCACCAACAATATGAACACCTGTTTTCTTTGAGTAGTCAGCCAAGATCTGAATATCTCGACCGATGTCTACTGGCGTAACATCCACAATACACGTCCCTCCGTTCTGCTTGAATATTTCCAATTCCTCGATCACAGCATCGGCCTCATCACGCATGTCCAAATTCGCTTTCACTGAATACCTATTCATATCAACATTATTTATTACCTGCTTCAAAAGCTGTTAACGCCAAACCTTGGGTAAGACATTTACTTTAATTTGCTCATCCTTCAGATGGGAATTTAAGCAGTTGGTCCATTCTGTTTAATAAATAATATGTCTGAATTGACTATCGGTATTTGGGATAAAGAAGGAATATTTTACTCTAGTATTTTTAATAATGAATGGTGATAATATTGATAATCTTAATAATGATGATGAAAAGATGATGATGTTGTAAGATCATATTTTGTAATGATTATTAAACATGAAATGATTTGTGTACTTAATATTTGTGCCTAAATATGTACTGTAATACAATAATAAATCAAACATACGGAAAATGTTTGAGAAACTTTAAATTCTTCATGGTAATAGGTGTGTCGATGATTCCTCGGTATTCATCATTTGGCTTCCTCCAGTAAGCCACAAAGGTCACATGCAAGTGCTCGTGGGTCAAGGTTCGACCAATCTCAGATGGACTAATAGAACCCAAGACTGAAAAAGAGAAAATGAAAAGAATTAATAAATAATTAAGAGAATTACAGTATAAATATTATGCATTTTTTAAATTGTTAAGATAGCATCAGTACACTGAGAGACATTAGAAAATTACTGCCCACAGGAATAGGAAAATAATGTTAAATGTAAAATGATGACATGATTGGCAAGAGGTCATCAGACAATAATTTCTTACCTGTTTGGATACTATCTTTGAAATCAGTTGTCATGATTAATCCCTTTGAAGCACAATGCTGAAAAAAAAGACCATTTATAATCAGTTTAAGAACAAACAAGTTCTCATAATCTCAAAAGCTCCAATGAGGGCAGTATAATAGAGGCGGTAGAGTGTGTTGGCCGTAGCAGTCAACCATACAACAAAGATGTATTAATCAATCATTAGCAATGAAACAATCAATCAATCGATCGATCAAACAATCAATCAGCCATGTATTCCTAGACCTCCTTAAAAATTACACAACTATTGCTTGTTGGTCTAGAAGCATGGATGCAGCTTACGTAGTGAGAGGTACCTGGTTCAATTCCTGGACGAGCCCATTTTTTTTTTCTCTAAAAATGGAAAAAAAGATCTATTACTCAATCAGCAAAAAAGATCTATCAAAATTGCATTGTAATTATGGCTTGTTGGTCTAGAGGCATGAATGTAGGGTGTGAGAGGTTTCTGGTTCAATTCCGGGATGAGCCAGTTTTTTTCAATAAAAATGAAAAAAGCACAGTCAATCAGCTGTTAAAAAAGCACACAATCAACAGGGTATTCCTTGAGCTCCTCATTAGAGCTAAAAATAGTGTACAGTAGTTTACATTAATCTTTTAAGCACAAGATTTGTTATTCAACAATCAACTATAAGATGAAACGAAAATAAACCCAGAGATTTTGCAGATGATGTACACAAGAGGAAGACGTGCCAAAAAGCCCTAGCAGATACAACTAACTAGATTCTGCCAATTGGGCTGTTTAACCTGTCTGTAACCTAAATTCAGAGAGTTCCCTAAACCAAACCCTTATACCACCTAAAAAAAGTAGAGTATAACCTAGTTAGTGGGGGCTGGCCCTAAGGTACTACGCTCTACCATGGCTTACTGAAAGCTAAGAAGTACTACTATTCTTAGGCCTAACCAGGTCTAAATCAAACAATGCCTGCACTAACTGTACATTATATCCCAAAACGTTATTCAGATTCTGGGGCTATAATAATTTGTAAAAGTTTTAAGAAAATACTTCACTTAAGTACAGCACCGCATCCAGGACACTGTGTGAGTTTTGAGCCTATAAGCAGCGCCCTCAGTTGTTCATTGGTTCATGTTGCATACGTTTAGATCATTTTTTCCTAAAATTCATTAGTGATATTTTTTTTTTAAATTTCAAATCAAAGTCAACAGCGAAAAATAATCGCAACATACAGGCTTAAAAAGACACAGACAAGATAAGAAACAGACACAAAGAAATATAAAAACGACGAAAAATATACAATGAAAAATGAGAAATGAAACAGTCAGCACGTGCCTTGCCAGAAGAAAATACAACAAAATAAGTAAAAAGAATAATTACTTAAAGTAATCAAATATAAATTACCTAACTTCGTTAATAGAATTACTAAAAATATCAACTTCAGGACAAGTATTAACAAAATCATCATACATCATAACTAAAGGCTTAAATTAAATTTAAATTATTACGGTACTTTGATTATTGAATAACGCATCTATTAAATTCTGAGCTCAAAATCGGAATTAAGCGCTAAGGGCGAGACTTTCTGTATGCTTTGTTTAGCGAACTTTTTTCGGCGTTAGTGGGTGGCCGAAGAAAAAACAATTGCACAAACCAGGAGTAAATGCATGCCTTCGTTGCTTTGTTTTATACGGAGCCCCTAAAGGGACATGGTTAAAGAAAATAATTTCGACGGAACGAATGATAATATTTCGAGGGAACGAAATATTCCTCAAAATCATTTCGAGGGAACGAAATCATTTCGTTCCCTCGAAATATTATTTCGTTCCCTCGAAATAGTTTAATATTTTCTTTAACCATGTCCCTTTAAGGGCTCCGTAGTTTTATGTTGAAAAATATAATTTTAAGGCGTATTCGACTGGACCTTTTCCGAGGAGCTCGGAGTGTGCTCGTGAAAAAACAGCGAGGAGTTCGTGTTGCTCGTACGACATGTGCAGTTTGAGTAGAAAGAGCTGCTCAAACCAGACCAGTCGAATACGCCTATTGTTGCAGTGTTATGTATTAATAGTCTACAGTATATTGTTTTGCCTTTGCACTTGGGAATACATTATAGACATTTTTTTGGAGGAATTTATTGTACATTAAAAAATTGCTATAAAAATAATTTGATCAATAATTATATATTTTTACTACTGTGTTGACAATGGCTAAGGCCACTCTATTTAATACAAGGAGCTACATGAAAATGCTTAGCGCTAAAGATAGCGTGAGATGGATTTAGGGAGGAAGAAACGGGGTACGCCCCTCCCCGGTTTTGCCACTGCTGCCTTGTAATTTTTAACAGAAAAAAATACAAACAAATACTAAATGTTACAACATTTTATAACAGCATAATATAATAAACACAAATCATACTATTATTGGATACTCATTGATGACAAGAATTATATTACATTAGTGATCCCCACCCCTCGTTTCAGCTGAAGATTTTAATTTATTTAAATTGTGTGTTGCTTCCAAATTCCACAATAACAGAAATTTCTGTTAAAATGTAAACCCTTTTTATGAAAAGGGAAGCCGATGCGCTGGATGCCAGCAGTGTCCCTATTCGATCTTACACACCAATTCAACTTTCTGAATGGATTAATTTAGCAAGAATCCCGGAAATTAAACCATCTCTGCAAATTTAGCACGTTTCACTGCTTCATTATTAATTTAAGTCAGTGCCAATGGGTATCCATACGTGGTGCAAAATAAAATCAAATGTGTTAAAAAAGCTCATTAAACAGACCAGTGGCGGATTCAAGGGAAAATTATGACAAAATAGGGTAGAAATGAAATTATTTCAAATTTAAGTGTGGGATGGCCATTTCCGGCCATAAAGAGGCGCCACAACCACACATTTTCCCACTTTTGCTTCAACCATGGTGGACTGATTTGGTCTAGATCCCGCTATGAAAAGTTCCTCCCTGCGCTGCCGCCTCAATATTTAGTAATTATCACAGAAGTTGTATATATTTAATGATGAAAATGGATTTGAAAGAACTCAAGAATAAATATGAAGACTATATAAAAAAACTTCCCTTTTAATTAGTTGCTATCTGGTAAATTACACAAGTTATGTATTTTAAATAATATTGTGAAACAAAGGCTAATTAACAATAGGAATATGCTTAACATACAACAAAGAACATGCTAACTTAATTATAAGGAGACTGTACACATTCATATACATTCATTACAATAACCATACCCCCAAAAAAATCCATTAACAAGTATCCTCAATGTTTATAAACAGAGAATTAAAGTGACTTTAAATTAATGCATTTTTGCAATTGACCAGTCATACAGGTAAAAATTCTTTTGAATTCTCCATTCCACCAATCACTGTTAAGACTTCTCGTCATAGATTTTCCAACAAAGCATTATTTTTAATATACAAAAATACAAATACAAAATGTCTTTAAATGCGAGCCTTTATTAAGAGCTCTGTTGAAGCCTGTTATGTTTCATTATTAATCATAGAAAATACAATTGCAGTATATACATGGTGAATTGAGTTCTGTGAAATATATGCATGCACTGAGATGACGGAAGATTTCAAAAGATGCAAAGCCGGCACGCTTTGGTATCTCATCAGCTTTATTACTTTTAAGTGCCATACATCACTATGACGTCTCAAAATTTAACATTAAGATGACATTTTGCAATGTATCATCATCACTATGACATCTCACAATGTAACATAACTGTCTCGCAATGTTACATTAAGTGACACTGTAAAATCAATCGCTGACATCTCACAATGGAACAAGAACATGACGTCTCATATAACATCACTATGGCGTCTTGCAATGTAACTTCAATGTCTCGCAATGTTACATTACGACACTATAATATCACCGACATCTCACAATGTAACAATGACATGACGTCTCACAATGTAACATCAATGACACTATATCGCTGACATCTCGCAATGTAATAACATGACATATCATATTATAACATCACTATGACGTCTCACAATGTAAAATTAATGACATCTGGGAACTGTCACATCACTATCACGTCTCCCAAAGTAATATTGACATCCCATAATATGTAAAAATTACACTTCATACTATTTTAAGGCTATTTCAGGCAGCAGAGGTGTAAATTTATATAAATTAGATGATTTTAGGGCATACAAAAAGTCACTAATGGCAAGAAAACCATTGACTGATTAAATACAAATGATATCAGGTAACGATTACCAGTCATAATAAATTTTATGCCAAATGGAATGTAGTATTTTACACTTTCAGTTAATTCCAAGGGTTGAAAACATCATAGCTGAAATGGACTTAATAAAATATAAAGCCAAACAGATTCAAAAGAATCATACAATTTCCATTTCTACGACAACAAACATGTTTTTAAAGAATGTAAAATTATGATCTTTTCGTAAAACTGTTCTTCACTGTTTATGGTTCCGAATTAAACAATATCCTTTACCATAAATACATAAGAATTTCCATAGCAGCCAAAACATTGAGAGAAATTATTAAAAAAGGTTCAAAATCAATTATAAACAAGAAATATATTAAATCTAACAACTACATTATGGTCACCACAGGCTAGTAACTTTTTCAGTGGGCATGTCAATGTGGGCATTAGTGGGTATGGCATTGTTTTTGACAACTGTGAATTTGGTTCCATTTTCAGTATGGACGTACTTCACATGGGGAAAACACACTGTTGCAATGATGCAAATATGAATTGGAAATTTTAAAAAAATTGTTCATTATATAAATAACATAAATTTCTAGACAGCATTAGGCAAAACTGTACTAGTAAGCAAATATTCAAACAATTTCAGGCATACAAGGACTAAAACAGTATACAGTACTTGGGATTTTAATTTGCAGGTAAATTCTAGAAAATCTCAATCTTCGATGAGCTAATAAAAAAAAATCACATAAATACACAATATTTACAAAGTTACATCAAAAACAAGAATGAAGAGGTTTCAGCACCATTGAAGAAAGAAAAAAAAATAAATAAAAAGAAGATTTGTATAGCAATGCAATGTAACCAGACTATTGGGAAAAATGACTTGAACGGGAAGACAGCAATTTGATTGACACTCAAAACACATACTAAAATTAAGCTTACACATGCGCAACACGATGGTAATATCTACGTAATGACATCATAGAATCATCTGCGCTTTTTAGGACGCAGTTTTGCCAGATTGACGTTGGGCAGAGAATGCAGGATGGTCACGGTTGAGTCAATCCAGCCTGTCTACGCCGTCGCGTAAATTGAAAGCTCAGAAACGTGAGTAATGGAACACATGTCCAAAAGATGTATGTATTAGTTCTCCCCATGAGAAAATATTGGGAAGAAAAATAAAGGAGATCCTTCTGTCCTCAAATTATTGGGGAGAAAAAGGAAAAATTCAAAATTTTTTACAAGGTTTACCCTGAGATTGGAGGATACATAGTTAAAAAAAAGAAAGTCAGAGAAAACAAATAAAAAATAAAATAAAAAATAAAGTGTAGATAAATTTTATACAGTTTGAATTTCTGTTGATAATAATTATGATACCAATAGTAGTTGTGATGAGAAGTGCATCTCAATTTTTTTAGGAAAAAGTGTTTGTTTTATAAAATACAAACAAATTCATAACTACAAAATCATGTACCTAACTATACACCCTTCTACAATACTAAACATCTTACCAAGAATACATAGCATGTTTCTTCTTTGCATTCATTTACAATCAAATAAACTAATTATGCTTCTGACAACTAAATTTGAGTACATACTTTTTCTATAAAAACAAAGTCAAAATGGTTCATTTTTATAATTACAAAGTTGTTTCACACACATGTACCACGCAAGATGTAGAAATCCATACAACTCGCCTTTTTCCAAATCCTTAGCCTTCCCTCAATCTACTAATACAAGCTACTGATTTATAATTTAAATAGGTAATCAAAATCGGAGGGTGAAAGGATGGATCAACTGGAGGTGCTATCCAAGGCTGTGCTTCTGCAGCATTTGAAAAATTATCCAATAAATATTTTTATCTAAAGGCACAATTTACGTTAACTTGATATGTACCACAATGCAACATTAGTTCATTTTGTGGAAACGGTACAATTGATGTTTTCTATCGCACCAATCACTCACAAGAAACTTGTTACCAAATGCTTTAAGCATTTCATTTAATGTATACAATGTTTGATGTAGAAACACAAAAAAAATGAAGAACTTGGCTAGGCCAAGGTGTTGCAGTGACCACACAAAGTCAACTCATGTCAAACCTTATTGCATTCTGGAACATTAAGTGATTATATAATCGCATTTGAATAACATAATTATCGGATAACTTTCAGTTGGTTTTATTGAATAATTATCAGAACAGTTCAGTGCTCCAGAAACAAAGTCTTAGAAGAAAATACTTATAAATATTCACAGTACAATATTTAAATGACTTTGCATAATTAATTAGATTAATCATGTGTATTATATATTGACCTCAAATAATTTACCGTTTTTATTTTAAGAGTGAGTTTTTAGTACAAGTAACTCACCTGTTACTCCCATAAATCCAATATGGACCAGTTAAGCCACACTGTGCACTATAATTACAGAAAATGCATATTTGCTTGCAGGTGGAACACTGCATTATTTACTCATTCAAAATGAAATCATACTTCAACACCTGTGGCCTAATATCATACATAACACAGGTGACCATAATCATTTGATAACTTTCATTGAATCTTCATGGATATCATTATTATAGCTATAAACAGACACATGTACAGGTGGCCATAATATGAACACCTACGCCACATACTATGCACCTTAGCTTTTACCATAATCAATCGATCAATTTTTGTCTCTGGGGCAAGTGAATATTATTATCAAAGTTATCATATGTGGTCATCACATGAACACCTGTATGCTAATATTCATATGAATTACAACTTTCTTTATCAAGCCCTATTGTAGTTAAAAAGTGGCCTTGATGGACAGAGGTTTGCACCATAGAAACCATTAAAGCAAAACATAATTTTTAACCCAATTCCAAACAAGAAACAGTATAAGTTACGCCAAGACCGAAGCAGTCAAAAAGAATTGATACTTGGTCATGGCGACTATCCGTAGTAATACTGTTAAACTCATCACAAGAATGTGAAAGCCTATGTTGATTCGATGGTAGGCCGCGAAAAGTCCATACTAGAAAGCGACTGCTTTTGACTTGTTGATGGCACTAGAGCGGTCACCATATCGCGTGCTGGTGGGAAGCGATAATAATATCGATCTGATTTTAAGTACTTTACGGTGACCAACCGACCTGCAAAAAAAAAAAAAAAAATGAAGAAAAACAATTATTGGTTGGTTGTAGCTATGTTTTAGTGGTAAAGTGCCAGCTTTGTAATCCTAGGGTTTGGACAATTACTAAAAACGCCATAGCCTCACAAGATTATTGCCAATTAATTTTTCCTTCAGTCCTTTTTTATCTTTGTCTGCTAACTTGTTTTTTCTATTATATACAAAAATGGACAGCCACTGGGCATTCTTAAAAACTCCTAGCTCAACACTGCTAAAGTACAACAGTTATCATACTGACTAACGGCATAAGTGACTCCAATTAAGCCCTTCACAATTAATTTATAAGGTAGTATTCTGCAGAGACAACCTCAATCATTTACAATATTATGACCATGCAATTACTTATGCATGGTGTAAATGATCTTTTTAACTCAAACTAAGACTAGATTGTTTTAAGAATACCTCTGTAGATTAACTATAGTGTTATAAAGTTTCATTCTGTAATTTTGGGCTCACTGTGCATTCTGTGTGTCCTAAGGTTGTGTCTCCCCACCTACACCTATGGGGGTGGGGCGCCCACCATGCACCCCCTAGATACGCCACTGCAGTAGGTTCAAACACTAATGTGCTAGCTGCAATATTATGGTACGTTTCATAGGCATTTGCTAAAACAATGCACAAGGTAATAGTGCTTATAAATCAAAAATCAGTTTCTATTTAGTTTATAAGAAATTATTAATGAAATTCACTTACCATCAAACCAACTGCCTTGCAATGCCCTGTATGCATAGCTAGCTTGTACGGGTGTTTCAACCTTGCAATATACACAACCCTTCAGACAGATATAAAATGAAATAAATAACATTAACCATAAACTTACACAATTACATTTAAATCAAATTTACATACTGTATTTGACTTAATATTAACCACTTAATTTACAGTAATCAATTAAATTGTTATAGCAATAAAGTACATTTTAAATCTACATATTTTACTTGCATTTACACAAATGCACTGCAGCAGGGGACACATGCTTATTCACAAGCACAGGACTTGTGTAACATATTTTTCCCTTGTTAATCAGGTATAAAAGTAATCTTGTGACTTACCTCCCGTGAATTCTTATCAACAGCAATGTGGAGTATCCTGACGCCATCACCAACCTTGTCCAGGATAGCATCTTCGATTTCAACTTGCCATTCGTTACTGTTTGACTCTCTGTAATAAATCAGTCAAAATAATTTTTACAATAAATTCTAAAAATAGAACTGTACATTGCAACATGTGATTCATTTTAAATAGACAGTTATGTAAATACCAGTTACTGCAGTACTGTAATCCTAAAGTCTATACAAGTATGTTAGAAACCAGACACATAATATGCCCAACAATCATAATAATACAATATTACAATGCTGCAGCTTGTATTGTACGTTTTTTTAGCACTAAAATTTTTAATTCAACACGCAAATTTACTATAATGAAGCTACTGTTAATATGAATGAACGTAATTTTAAATGTAGGGAAATTTGATTTAGATAAATTCATAAATAAATAGATAAGTCCATAAATTGGTATTATTTGGAAGATTAACCTACAATTTTAGCCAGCTAGATGCAAAAGACTGTAAAAAGTATCAAAATGATCGAAAAACAGGGACCTGTCTTATACGCCCGACATACAAAAATTGTCCATAAGTATTCTCAAACTTAGGGGTCGTCTTATGCACGTATCACCTTATACTCAAGAATATACAGTACTGCTTGCCTTTTTTTCATCCTTGGATACCTATATCATTAGCTCTTTCAAAAAACTTAACATTTCTGTGTTATAATCAATGTATGTATTATGTAAAAGAAGGCAGGTTAAAACAGGTATGCATAATACATAATATACTTACAATGACTGATCGAACATGTTACGTATCTTCAGGAATTGAGTGTAGATACCTGGTGCCGTCTTCACCGCTGAGTCCAAGTTCTCAAATGCTGCAAGATATTAAAAAAAACCTTAGCTTGAAAAAATGATGCCCATGATGGCTCCTTTCAGGAATGAACAATAGACTTTTCGGCTAAGCCCGCTGCTTGGATACTGTTGTTAAGGTCTCGTAAAGATAACGTAAACATGTGCATTTGTGAGAAAACGTGTAATTGTGGGATAGGCGCGTATTCAGGGACCTGTTCTAATTGGTCAGTTGTTAAGTTGATTGACATTCGGGAAAAAGGTCTGTTGAATTAAAAATTCTCATAATAGTATTTCATTTCTGTGTTTCTCCATTCTAATTTTATTTATTTAGACAGAATTTTCTTCAAAGGTAATAGAAAAAAATAATAGTAGTAGAATTTTAATTCTGTACTTGGCCTTCAACCGTAAAGTACACCTAACTGCTTAAGCTTTAAGTTTAAGACAGACACTTAATAAGTGCATTCACCGCAAATAGAAATTAAAACGTTATTACCTGTACAAGAGAAAATTAAATGCACAAGGACAATGTCTCTCCCAAGGTTTATGACTGACATGTAATGGCAACTACTGCCAATCTTCAACTAAATTAATATTCAACAAAAGCTGGTATGACAATAGATTTCAGTTAATAGAAGATTTATGTTTCATATTTATTCTGTATTCTTTATTATTATTATTATTTTTTATGATTTCAATAGAATTCTAGAGATTGCAGAATACAAATTAATAAAGAATGAAAAATAGTAATTAAGATTAATTAAGGTATGACAATAGACTTCATTTAATAGAAGATTTATTCTGTATTCTTTATTATTATTATTATTATTATTATTAAAAAAATACTTATAATGGTCACATTATTAAGAAGACACAACAATAATTGTTACTTAACCAATATCCTGAGGCGCGTGGAACGGAGAGAGTAGAGAAAACAGTAGAACTTATACATACTGTTTGTGGTGCTGAACTAATAATAATAATTCAAATAATAAAACATTAAATAGTTAAACCGTTATTAAATTTTTAATCAATGACCAGAATTGATAATTATCAACTTAACTTTCTCCCATACATCTAAGAGACTTTCCCAAGAGGAAAATGGACTCCGGAAGGCATCAAACATCTGGCACTAAACAGACAGGACTGGAGAAAAGCTGCTAGATGCATGCACTGCAACCCATAGATGATGGTGAATAATGATTGTTATTGATTAGTGCTAATAATTTAGATACATGCACTGCAACCCATAGATGATGGTGAATAATGATTGTTATTGATTAGTGCTAATAATTTAGATGCATGCACTGCAACCCATAGATGATGGTGAATAATGATTGTTATTGATTAGTGTCTTGCCTAAGTCGAATAATTTCTAAGTCGATCTAATTTTACATGGCAAATTGTTGTGTATTCCATTATTTAACAATCTGTAAGTCAAATTTTATCTAAGTCGAACAATGGCATTTTGGATTCAACTGTATAACCAATATCAAATATCATTTTAATTTTCAATTGTAATTTAATCATCATATTACTTAAATGTTTGGGAATATATATCTAATAAATTTAATAAATCTTAAAAATTCGCTGTTAACTAACATTTTGAGATGTAAGTGTTCATAGCAAATTAACAGATGTTTAAATATTATCATTCTTTGCATTCTGGCAGCAAATTGAATATATGTATATATTTTTTATTAAGATATCTGTAAATCATTTTTAGATGAATAATTTTAGTAATAGTTTGAGAAAATTAGTAATTTAAAGTTATAATCTAATTTTTAAAATTTTTTCTAAATATTTAGTGACACAATATATCTTAAAATTCACTGCCAGCCAATTTAAGGGACTAAGCAAAGAACAAAGGAACGATATCATATATGTATCTTAATTTAAGACAATAAATATTTTTTTATAATTTTTAATAAAAAGCTAATAATTTGCACATTTACTTATTTTTTAAATTTTATTCATTCCGGCAAAGGATATAAAAGATAAATGAGCATACAAATAGATAATTGAGCCAAGGAGAAGCAAATGCATAAAAACAAAAACGCTATCACCGAAAAGGTGTGCTTCTTATTCTTAAAGGTGTACAACGGAAGCAAATAAAAAACTGAATTTTATATTTGTAATAGTGCAACACTGTCAGGATATCTTCAGAGTGTTATAAAATTATGATAAGAATTAATAAGATAAATCATAAACATGAGTATATTGAACTTCACACTAACCTTGACCTTGCCAGACTTTAATCTTGCCCGGTTTCATATCCTGCAAAATGGGAGAAACAAAATAAGCATTATCCTCGCTTTCATCCGAAGATAAAAGAGCATCCGAGATGAGCAGTGATCCGGCCATCTTCCTCACTCTCTTGAATCCAGGTTTGAGGAAGTTTGTTGGCTTTGAATGCCAAATGAGGCCCAACTAGATCCGAAGCACTTGAGAGCTTGGCATATGTCTAGGCCAGCCAATATATTTATACCGTCTCATTTTCTATCTGTCTAGACACTCATTGTATTGAAACTAATGAATTAAGTCTGATGCGTACGGTAGATTTTTTTTACTAGCTTCTAAATCAACCATTGGATATCATGAAGAAAAGAAAAAAACTCACATAGTACAACAAATGTCACTAAGATTAGAGCATGGATGTACATGTACTTTACTGCTAATTAATATTTCTACCTCATATTTGAAATAGTACAGCAGTAATCAATTAAAGTTATTGAGAGAATTATTAATAAGTAATTGGTTATTAAATATATATTTCTACACCAGACAATGGTATGAGGAAATAAAGCTAAGTGAGCTTATTTAAAAAAAAAAAGTTCCTGATTCAGGAAATTATCTATTCCCCTTCAAAAAAACAAAAAAAAAAACAAAAGGTATTATTATTATTGTTATTTACAAATTACTAAGTTCAGGTGAGAATTAGCTTTCAATACTTACCAACAATTTTAATGTACTTTTTTTTTTTTTGATGAAAAAAATAATAAACTCCTTTAAAACACCTCTGAATTTTCTCCAACCGATACATGATTCATTCAATTGATATAATTTTTTGAATTTGAAGTCAAGGATGTAACTTTAAACGGAAGGAATATAGACAGTCAGAGTACTACTAATTTAGGGAAATTTTGACAAAGAAAAACCAACTGTTCTATCACTGTTTCTTATCAACTGGATGGAAGGCCTTTGGCTTAAGGAAGAAACATACTGTAGCTTAAGGAAGATGAAATACTGTATCTTGTGGAGCTAATATGAAAGACATAATACATGGTATCTTTTGAGATGAGATATAAGAAAGTATCTCGTAATGTTCATGAAGTAATATCTTTCAAGTTTATTTTGAGGTATAATATCTGGTACCTCACAAATCTCATAAGATACATCTCACATTATGGTAACTTTTTCATCTCTATGACGACTAGATAACTAATGGCACTGGCAGTAATGAGATATAGTCAGTAAGCAAAAGTTTATGAGATGGAATATTCAGCATCTGGTACTGATCACATGAAATAGAAATTATGGCATCATGTTCATCTTATATGACATATGGTATCACTAATGGAAGCAATGAGATATAACATCTGGTATCTCAAAGCATTATGAGATGCAATATACAGGTAACAAAAAGTTCATATGAGAGAATAGCAGTACTCTACTTAAAAAGCAGTATCTCGTAGATATAAATACTGTATGCATGTATATCTAATTCATAATGAATTTTTATAGCACGATTTATTTGAGACCAAAGCACTCTAAATCTGTTAACAGACACAATGCATGATATGAAATTATTATTAATTGGATTTGGAAGCTAATAAAATCTTAATATATAAAGCTCTGTCCACACTATCAAATTGTATTTGATAGTCTGGACATGCAACATGCCTAAATATGGTCATGATGACATCACATCATGACCATATATAGGCACATCATGACTATATATGGGCATACAATAGTTTTTTGTTAAAGAAAATTTGATAATCTGAACAGAGCTTTACATCGTATCATGTAAAGGCGTGTTCGAGTTAGAAAAATATCTATGCGAGTTCCGCTAAATTACACAGAATTTACATACCATGTGTCGCTCGAATGGGTGTCAAATGTGAAGAAAAAAAACATCTAAAACAAACTCGCATGCTTTGTGTGTGCATATTGCATGGAATGATGGGATACGAAGTCAAAATGTATATACTTCTGGGGTACTTTCTACACGGTAAACCACAGATCGTTTTTTGTGATCGAACGTACGGACCACCTGCGAAGAAATGCTGTACGTTTCTCAGGCATTTACACAGTGTAGAAGCCTGTACCGCTCGAACGCACCCTAAGTGAGAGGATACAACTAGTCATTAATCTATCAATATCCCCCTTCCAGAAAAAAATCACAATGTCTCTAAATTGAAAGTATTAACAAAGTCACATGGTTGTCATATAGAAGATTGCTAGCAACAGAGCGTAGTAGTAGACTGTTGAAAGGTGAGTGTGGTGATTACCATATCTGAATACTGAACAAGTGTGGAGCAATTCTGTCTTTCATTATCAATTGAAATGGCAGACATACAAGTTAACATTGACGGAACTTCCAGGTCAGATTTCAGGAAAAGAGAAACCTGGGTATTAAAAATATATGTCTGTAATAACATATGAAAATAATCTTAATTTGGGTTACAGATTAAAAAGGATTAAATAGTTTTTGAACTTCCAACAAGATACAATTCAATTTTGGGTTGATTAATTGACATTTTACTACGAACATCCTCAAGCTGATTATCAAACATTTCAAGGGTTTATACAAAGTGTATTAGAACTGTATTATTCCATGTGTCTGTTAAATTGACAAGGAAATTATTTCTTAATTTTAATTTACATAATGATTAAAAAAATATATTGACAAATTGTCTCAATGCTCTTTGGATACATAATAAATAATAATCACACAAAATTTTTTTCATATTTTTATTGCTCCCATTTTTTCATCTGTTTTTATTCATTTTATGTCTTTTAAACTGTTAGTTTTTTGTAATAATAAAATGTGCAATGATATTTCTGTGTTCGCAAGGACCCCAATGGAAATAAGTTTTCCTTTTTTGGGCTTTTCCTTGTAATTACGGTCATGTTTCCATGCATTTTTTTATCGTCTGTTTTTTGTATATCATAATTTTCTTGCTGTCCCCGGTTTTCTCGGAAAAATACGCATTGTAAGATTATCCAATAAAATTAATTACTCCGATCGGTCTGTCAGTCATTTCAAGGCCACTGGCCACTTAAAAACAATACATTTAACAAACCTTTTACATTTGTAATAAATATTCTAAGCATTTACATAAAAATAAACACAATAGAAGTGTGTTATTCTAGAAATTATAATTACATCTCCAGTCTGCTATGGGAAAACATATCGCCCCTAAAATTTTACCTTGCCCCTCATTTGTCCCCTCTTCAGATTTCAGACGCTGGCACCGCCAATGTATGGTCATAATGTGATTTCATCACAACTATATTCAGGCATGCTACATGTTGCTGTCAAATAGAATTTGATAGACTAGGGTCCATACACTTTAAACAACGTCAAATTCCAGGACATTTCCAGGACATTCAAGGACAAACTTTTTTTTTAATTTCAAGGACATTTAACGTCTTTAGATATTTCTGTACAGTTATATCATTGCTGAGTTTCCCATACAGTATGACCTTGATGATATAACCAACATCGCGAAAGTTAAATTTTTTACAATCTTCTTTTCATTTTAAAAGATTGTTCATTTATTTAATGGTGAAATAATACCATGATCAAATTTCTAGTATATTAGATCCCCCATTTTTCTTGACAAAGGTTTTACTGGTTTCATGGAAAAATTGCTATAAATATTTGTAAAAGATGATGGCAAAATGTAGAAAAAAAAAAATCTGTCATATATTCAATTAATTAATACAAATGAGGCTAATGAATGAATAAATATTAAATGTTAAATAGAAAAATTTACATCACATTACTAAATATTGACATTAATAAGTTTGACTATATATTTGATATGGTATATTATGACGAAAGGTAACAGCCAAGTATTTTGTTTACTATTGTCAAATGGAACCAGTACTTTACCGTTTCTGTCATTGGCGTGAATGAGACGGTGGATTGAGGTTGCAACCAACGCCAAGTAGAAAACACCTCTCCCACAATGCTTTGCGTCTCAACACGGACTCTTGACTCCTCCGAGTTGATGTACTTTACAGCCCTTAACCAAACACGCTGCCGCTCTTTCCTAAATAAAAAAAAAATACTTATTGTTAAACCTGCAATAAATTTTTTTAAACAGTTTGGCGAAGCTTTGGGCTTTCAAGAAAATGGATATATAATGGTTATTCAATTGCTGCTTCTAGACTTTGGAATAAATTGCCACCTGCAGATATTTTCAAAATGAGACTTAAAAGTCATCTTTTTGCTTCATTTAATGTTTTCCTTCTGTCTTTTTCTTCTGTTCTTTCTTTTCTGTTTCCTACTTTTTCCCATTGTATACTTTTCTCCCTTTGTTACTTTTTCCTGAGCACTCCCTCAAATTGGCGCATTGAGACTTTGTATAATGTGCATTATAAGTCAAAGATTGTATTGGATTATATGATTATATGTATTAGACCATTCTAATACTTACTACGAATACACCCCAGAAAGCAGGAGAGACTGCATGTTGTGTATGATTTATTCTGTACCCAGGGTCCTCAACAATTCTTTGAGAAATAACTCTGTTTCTACTATCATGTTTCATGTAACAGATAACTGTAATTTGTCCACATAGGTTTGATACCATCAATCCATCAAACAATTAATCAAGCAGAAAACCGATATTTGAAGCACAAAACTTGATAGGAGGATACAAATATAAAATAATAATTGTTGAGTTTGCTCATGTGGAAAACCACATAAAACACAGATTCTCCATGGCAAAAAATACGATGTTGAATGTGTGAATTTCTTGTTGCTGTTATAAGATCATAGGCCTCACACCAGCTTAACAGCATTATATTTAGTTATGAAAGATGAGTACAGTACAAAAAATAATATATGCTTGTTAGTCATACCTTTCCGAGGGCGGTATAAGACGATCTCTAACGTGGGGAATAGCCTGGCATTTATCGCCATTGGTTTGTAGGAATTCTATAAAAGAAAAAATATAAACAGATATTAATTAATTAATTACAATATCCATAATTCATAATCAAGTATTGATAATAAATATTGATCAATTACCTATGATTCGATCTACAAGCTGATACATTTGACCAAGTTCTTCTTCTTCCTTCATCTGCCTGTATTTGATGTAGACATATATACTCCAGACCAGGAAAATTACTATGAAAATCAAGTATCACAGCTTATGTTAGTGTATAAAGTATTTCGATGTGTTTATAACACCATGTATTTTTCATTGTATTAATGTTCGTGTTTCATTGTTCATTTCAAATACCATGCCAACAACCAATCATAAAATATTACAGTATAATAATATTTCATTTATCTACATTTACCATTTCTAAAGCACATGGCCAAGGATGAGAAATAGCGATACCAATCACTGTGTTATATATTAATTGGCAATCCCTTATACAATATGCTTAAAGCTCTGTCCAGACTATCAAATTTTATTTGACAAAAACATGTGACATGGATTGGATTCAGATTGGGTACATTTTGTGTAAACACCAAGGACAGCTCACGAAAGTCTAGAAGGCCTATTTCCAGTGGGGTCCTTCTGGTGGTGATTGGGCAGTACACAGAAGACAATCCTCTACTCTTTTCCGAAAAGTATACTCTGTCCTTTCATGGGCCATAAATGCACACGGGGGCTTAAACGTCTCATCCGAAAGACGGTGCGCTATTGTAACTTGTATTTCTGCCCTCCAGCTGAACCACAAGGACAGCAGCGATGGTAATTGAACCGGGGACCAAGAGATCTCCACGGTTCAGCACACACACAGTGACTACCACCAAATTAGCAGGCTGAGCTAAGATGCTCTCTCTAAATATGGTCATGATGACATCACATCAAGAACATATATAGGCACATCATAACTATATGGAAATATAACAGTTTTTCACCAAAGAAAATTTGATAATCTCTACAATAGGTTTACATGAACTAAGTCTAACTATGGTATTGAGGTTTAGGGAACTGAGCTGTTTTGGTCATGAGAGAATTGAAGGAATTGGAAGCAGGACCCTGGGAATAGAAGTACAGTATCTTAACCATCAAACCACAGCCTCCCTTTCCAGACACATTTGAATAATAAGCAACAAAAACATATTCCATCAAGGTCTGCATTGTAGATTAGGCCAGGGAGATGTAAAAAAAAATAGGCTCCCAGCGGGAGCGTGTGTCTACTGCCAAATTTAATAGAAACGGTGATGTCGAAAGTGATTAATGAAATAATAGTATTATTAATAATAATTTTTGTTGCAACTTCAAAACCACCGAGTTAGGGTAGAAAAAACAATGGGAAAAACCACAAGCAAAACAGTCTCGACCTGAGTTTAACTGTAGACCCGTTTAACCACTTCTACTCGATTTAATTTTAATTTCCAACTTTCGGAACTGTGTGCCTGATAGATAATGACGAATTAGTTAGCAATGCATCGTACCACACACACGACCGAGTTTACGGGTAGTAGAGTAGTAAAATCACGTCATATCACACATCACGAATGTGACATAATGTCAACTTTACACTTCCGGATTCTTACTTCACACTTTTGTGAATGTCAACTCACGCTCACAATGTCAAATTTACGCTCCGGATTGACCAGGATAGCAAAGTGTCTACTGCCTGAAAAGGAGAGAGCTGTAACTGTAGTTAGGGCGAAGACACTAATTAGGTATATTGCTTTTTAATTGCAGTGGTGGCCATCAAGAATCAAAGGCCTATCTTTCAAGCTCCCTCCTTTGTTTATTACATCTCCCTGGTTAGGCAAAGTAAAAAAATAATAATTTCTCGTCATAATATTCAAAAAAAAAAAAAGGAGAATTAGGGCACTTTTCTTTTTTCTTTTGGGAAACAGCTGACCTGTTTTCTCACTTTTACCAAGTAGACACATTGAAAGCAAATAAAAGCAGCACTAGAATGATTCATACCATATGTATTCCCAACCACGAATGATCGAGAGAATTTTACCAATGTGATTTAGCCAGATTTTCGTACATTTCGTAAAATAAAGAGGGGAAAAAAATTGGTGAGGCAGAGAAAATGGCGGTGCGAGGGGTTGAGAAACTAGTAATTTTTTTATTTGGCCTTAAAGAAACACAATTTAACAATAAAATCACAATTTATTCAAAAACCTCCGAAATGGAGAGCATAAAATATAGCAGACGTTCGACACAGGTAAGCATTCTTAACAGGTGTGACAGCGCCACTAAACACTTCTGGATATTGCCACTATATAAATATTTTGATTGATTGATTGGTTGAAGCAAATACAAAAAAAAAAAAAATAAACACATCAAAATGTAAATAAATTTAACATTTAAATAGTAAACTGTTTGCTTTGACCTCATTCATAAACTAGAATACTAAAATACAGTATATGAAGTAGTGTTCTGTGAACTACATTTAGTTTACTGCAAAATTAGATTCAAAATTTTCTAGTAAATAAATATAACATATAGTTTATTACTGTTAAAATAAATTATTAAAATAATTATTTACACCTTTAAGTTTTAAGTACTTTATTTTATGAGTCATTTTAATGTTCAATGTCACTAAATGTAGAAAGATTTTTCAAGATTTTATTAACACAGTTTCGGTTTACCATTGAAGAAAATTTAGTTCAGATAACAACTATGGTCAGACGTTTTTTATTAGTTTTACTCTAATTCACTAATTAGAACTGCTCATGTGGACTGACTGGATTGCCAAATGTGAATATTAAAAGTCAAGTGGCTTTCCATGATCACAACAGATAACATCAAGTAGGCGTTCAACAGTTAGGTAAATATACATTTTAATATAATAAGTTAGGGCCTGGCCTTGCAAAAATGCTAAATTACTGTGGTTGGCTGTTTGTGTGTATATTTTCAAATAGAAATTTGGCCTGAATAATATTAATAAAATGACATCAGAGTCCGTAATATATATTTTAACTGTACATTTTCTTTTCTTGTCATTTAGAATGAAGATTTTGTATCAAAAGAGAAATTGTATATAAAATGATATGTTCTTATTCTATACAAGATATAGTATGGCATACTCTATCTTCAGAAATATGAATGAATGAATGAACAAAATTTAGGACCGAGTATACAGTAACCAAGTTTCAACAAATGAGGCCCGCACAAGTAGGAAACATGCGGGATAAATTACCAAACTCTTTTGCAAGGAATTTCTTATAACAGTCCAATAAATGAATACTGCTGTAAACAGATGAATGAACACCATCCTAGACGGATTGTTGAAGGGTTAGCTATGTTTCAACAAATGAGGGCAGCATTCAAATATAAGTAGGTGACATGGAGGAACGGCATGACCAGTGTTTCAACTGAATAAACCCGAGTGTTCCAATCATGATACATTGTGACAGATAATCTCCTGACACACATGAAATGCTACATTATTAAAGTGATGTTTCCAATTTTAGGACAGCTACAGCTGAATTAAATCAACATCAATCCATAATAGGATAGATGGAAAGTATCATGGGAATCATGCAAGGCAATATGGGAATCTTGCAAGGCAATATGGGAATCATGCAAGGCATTATGGGAATCATGCAAGGCATTATGGGATACACACTATATAATATGTCTGTGTAAATCTGTCAAGAATATCAATTTTTTTTTTGACAAAAAAACTGTTGTATGCCCATATTTAGTCATGATGTGCCTATACAGTACAGGGTGATGTAATATTAACCATTTTAGGGAATGTCATATGTTTTGACAAAAAAATTGATAACACTTCTTTTTTTACTTTGTTATAGTATTGTTTTCTGCTGTGGTATTTTCATATCAATAGGTTATGGTTCCACAAGATTATTGGTTCTAATCCCAAAAGAATGCATCAAATCTGGTTGGTAGATATGTTTCAACTACTGACATAAATTTTGGTCTATTCTTTTTTAACTATTAAATCCATAACAATTCTAATCTAAGTGTTTCTTACTGATTTCTAAGTTTTTATTTTTCTATTATGATCTAAATTTAAATCTTGAGAAAATTTGGTCAGTAATTATAAACAAAACAACATACAGTATTCAGATTTTCTACAATCCTAGTATAATGAAGAGACAACCAAAACTAATATATATTTGTTAATGTATTCTGTTAATTTCATAACACAAAAAAGAATTTTAATAATGGTATATTGATTGCTAATAATAACTTGAATTGTATTTTATATGACTCAAATTTTTAATGGCTCTTTATATGAATTATTAAGACAAATTCATCCTCCCTTAAGGGTACTTTTGCACTGCAGCTCTTGGTAAGTGCTCGCTTGCTGTCCACATTATTGTAGGGGCTTACCATACTTTTGTTATTCATTGCTTTAAATCTATGGAAATCCTAATTTTCCCAATCTCCTGTTCTCAGTGTGCTGCGTTTTCCTAGAGTGACGCGATGAATTATTGTCCAGGAAAATCAGGAATTTCCTACGGGAACCCAAAGTTACAAAATCGTTTAAAAAAAATCTTTTGTTTTATGCATAAACATTGTAAAGTCCAAAACTCTGAGCAGTAGTTTCCATGTGCTAGATAGCCTAATGGCCATTTGATCATTCAAAATATGCATTATTCTTGTTGAAAATATAAACATCCTGTGATGTACTGTAATATGTAACCTAATTTGCATAGTCACACCCACCGATAAATTTACTAAAAAACCCTATTGTAAGATATTTCCTCCTTTAACTGTAAATAATGTAATTTACATATTTAAGCCCTGTCTAAACTATAAAATTGTATTTGACAAAAAGTTATGACAATGCATGCCTAAATATGGTTATGATGACATCACATCATGACCATATATAGGCACATCATGACTACATGTATATAAGGGCATACAACAGGTTTTTTTTTTTAAAGAAAAGTTGATAGTGTGGGTAGAGCTTATGATAACAGCTTAACCTAGATGCAAAGCAATACTTTCTGTGTTAATAGAATTGAACAACATAATTCAATATTGAAAATGAAAGCGTCACTATATTTCATACATTAATGGCTTTCAATGGAAAATTGGAATAAGAAAATATTTGTCTTTTCAATTAACAGATGCTCAAATCCTTCCATGTGACATGCCTAAATATGGTCATGATGACATCACACCATGACCATATATAGGCACATCATGACCATATATAGGCACATCATGACTATATATGGGCATACTGTACAACAGTTTTTTGTCAAATACAATTTCATTAGTCTGGAAAGAGCTACAAGACCATAAAATTTAATGCCTGGCAGTTGCAGACAATTCAACAATATTCGGAGTACAAAATGTGTAAGTCAACTAAAATCAAAATGTTAATGTGAATTTGAAAGCTTATTTGATCATATTTCATGAGAAATTTTATGTTTTACTTGAATGTTTGAGGTTTTGTCCAGGTTATCAAGCTTTCTTATATCACTTCTATACAGTAATAAGTACTTGAAATGATCTGCTAAAACATAATCACAAAGATGCTTATTTTTGATAGGCTGGCTAAAAAAACACAATCTTTATTCTCAAGATCATGTCCCCTATCTCTTTATTTTTGTCTTTTTATTTCTTTCTTCAGTGTCACTGCATTTTTATATAATCATTTTATATTTGAAAGGAATTAAATGTTTATTTGCATTAGATGGTAACTAATATGAGGTAGACAACGGCTGACATTGTAAAACAAAAAAAAAATCTCACTCCAGGTCATAAGTCGTCGAATGCATCCGTTAAAATTTGACGGTTATTTTTGAACAATGTAATGTAAACCTGTATTAGTCATCGCATAACGCATGAAAAAAACAGTCTTTAGATTTAAGCTAAGACTTTTGATTGGTTTAAATCTACAGTGATTGTAAATGTATATTTCTCTCCTGACAACATGTTCATTAGTATAAGTGCAAGCAAAGGCCAAGGATAGATTCTACAACAAATTCTAAAGATCGAGAAAGTGTTTTAGTTTGAGCAACATGATTTGTGATAATTAATTATCAACAAATGTTTTTACAGACCTGTTTTGGCAACTAGAAAAACTATTACCTTAACATACTGAAGAGAAATTTAATTTATCTAAATAAAAGAAAGACCATAAAGGTAAAATAGTCTGTAATGTTTTTTCATTCAATAAGTTTTGCCAACTTAATTCTTGACAATCAAAAGGATTATGCTCTGCCCAGATTATTAATCTTTTTAAATAAATTTTCTTTGACAATAAACTATTGTATGCCCATATACTGTACAGTTATGATGTGCCTATATGGTCATGATGACATCACTTTATGACCATAAATAGGCATATCATGACTATATATGGGCATACAGAAAATTTAATAATCTGGACTTAAATACAGCAACTTCATTTTTTTTTTGGCTCTACACAGACAGGAGAATTTCAGATGTAATCACCAAATACTCTTTCAGAAGCAGGAATACAAAACACACTTGAACCGAACAATATCAGAATAATGAGTGGCTAACAGGTGTTAGATTGAGCTGTCAACCTGTGAAACGCAGCTCCCATGGGGCACGCTCAGTAGTCGATATCACATTATATGTATTGATGTTTTCAATTTGCATACAACATAATCATACAATCGTCTATTCCCAACATGCTTTTTAAATTGATCTTCAAAACAATTCGGTAATCACTGATTTCTTGGTCACATGATTTTGCTTGAATGTTTTTATACTTGAAAGTGAATTAAGAATGTTATAATAACAACAACAAGAACAACAACAACAACAACAACAACAACAACAACAACAACAACAACATCATAATAATACTACTACATATGATTCACAGTAATATTTTGATTTTCATAGGAAGGGAAGTAAGAAGACTTGGGAGCTAATCTCCACTAGTGCACACACACTGTCAACATTCACCAGAGAGGGCGCTGGTAGGAAATAATAACACCTGTACTATTAGGCTCACCTGAACCAAGCAGGAACAGACGGAAGAATACATAGTAGATGGAACGCAGGATACGGCACTTCAGTGGCATGATGGGATACAAAGATTCTAACCAGGAGACATTCTCCATTTTGAAGTCCTCTGCCACATAGCCTAGTGCTCCTTCGTCATTATAAACTCTGGCATAAATATAAAATATTTGTTATGAATCATACATTAAATCATGAATGGACATCGATCAAAGTTAAAGAGACAACTGGAGTAGAATACTGTGTAAGTCTAATTCTATGAAAATATATATAACATGATCATTATCATAAAAATGCACACATTGAATAGCTAAGAGAGCTAAAACCTTTGCATAATGTTTATCACTTTGTATGCAACATTTAAACTTTAAGCTTTGACATACCTTATGCCCCATTCTGGATGAATAATAATATGCTTCAACATATCCTCAAAGTGCAGGAAAGCACCCCTACTTCCCTCAGGTGTTTTCTGAAAAGCAAATATATTTTTTCAATTTTGTCTATCGCCAGGCACTGCTTGCATTGTAACAATAGTAATGACAGCATTATTATTATTATTATTATTATTATTATTATTATAGGTATTGTATTGGTATTGTAGTATCTATGATGATTACAATAACATTAGCAATAGCACTAACAACACAACTTTTAATAAACTTGTGCATTATTACAACAGGCATGAACAAGCACAGAAACTTTAGAGCCTATACACACAAAAAAAGACATACAAAAAAATACACAGTATATATATATAAGTATTACTAGATTATGGAAAACAGAAAAACAAAGTATGAATGAAAAAGATTACTTAACAACATTAAATTGATATAATTATTTATAATATTGACTGAAGATTGAAGAGATAAAAAACAAAGAAAGAAGTTAAGCGCATAAACTACTATATAAATTAAATTATAAATTATGTTCATCCGAAAATATTAAAATAATTAAACCCTTCCAATAAGAAAAAAAATCATCAAAAAATTTAATTTAAAAAAAAAGTAATACATAAGATTACAGTACAGTAGATTTCTTTTAAAGGTTATTGATAAAATGTTATTTGTAGTTGTGGTTTTTAAAGAGGAAACTAACAGAATAGCTTCCTCCTTCACTTAAACAATTATCAATGATACAGAGATGATTTCATTAGACTGTCTGGTGAGTTCATACAACTGACTAGTTTGGAGTTTAGTGTCCCAAAGTGAAGTCAAAACTGGTTAATTTTGGATCACATACCACACTACACATCCTTTTAAATTATTATTACATTTCTAACTAATTTTGCAAGAATACAACCAATGCTAGCATCTCTCAGGGTCATTTTTTAAAAATTTTAAATTTCAATAAAAAATACTAAGAACGTATTTATTTGCTTTTGCTTATGTCAGGATCTAATGTATATCTTGTGAACAGATTTCTTTTTATGCCTAAAAACAAAGCTTCCAGATTTTTCAAGAATAAAAAATGAAATCATAATCTATCGTCCACAAATTATTCTGAAAAACATATTATCTTTAATATTATAATAATAATAATAATAACAATAATAATAATAATAATAATAATAATAACAATAATAATAATTATTACTATTATTAGTATTACTATTACTATTTTTATTACTATTTATCATTATTATTAATATTAGTGATAGCTTAAGCTTCTATATATGCCATAAACCATAGCTAAAAATGTCATAAGCTAGAGCCAGTGAAGAAGTAGCCTTCAACAATTAGGTTTGCTCTAAAACAGAAGATGCAAATGAACAAAATTAAAATCAATTAAAATTTTATCGCAGTGTGTAATTTTTGAAACACCATTATAATATAAATCCCAAATATTTAAAAATTATTATTTATAAATATTTAAATGAATAAAATAAAATATTAGGTAAATTCATCATAAAAAATAAATGAGACTATAACTCCACCCTGCCTGAATGATTTTGATACCTGGATTTAGTTTATACTTACTTCAAGTTCTGCTTTTAAGTATCTGCTAGCATCACTTAAGGACATATTGTATTGCTGAGAAAATTCTCCAACTCCAGTCCCACAAAGGTGGTTGCCTATGTAATCACAATATACACAGAGATTATTACAGTAGCAACAAAAAAATAAAATTATTAATGCATCATAATGGTAAAGAGAATATATGACTGGTTTGCCATCTCAAGACCAGCATATTTTTAACTGAGTAATTAAGGATGTGAGAGTACAGAGAAGCCGTAATACTTTTCTTCATAACATTGGCAATAGTAAGTAGGTTCCGGTAGATGACCTGTCATTGGTTAGTGTAAACGGCCAAAAATACGACTCACTTTGCCAAACATCACAGGTTCGATGTGCAGGACGCATTCAACGTTGAACAACCCAAGTACTGTACACATCAGAATCGCTGGTGTAAACACCAAATTCCAGATTATAGGTTTTCCTGACGCCTAATGCAGCTGTGGTCAGGTAGGCCTGCTGTAACCTTTGCTGGCAACAGGCTAGGCCATGACACTTTTCAAATTAAACCTTCTGGGCTTCCGTAGACTGAACAAATTGCTGATACAATTCACATAATTTTGAAAAAGTCTGCAGGTACATTGCTTCAATATTAACAATATTTTTAGCTCCATCAAAACTCAAGGAAATCGAGCCAAGTGATAATCACAATCGCAACAAAAATTGAGATTGGTATTTGAACCAACGTTTGTACCAGTGTAAAATGGGTGCAATTGGGATCAACCTGGACTTTTTTCGTTCGATGTGAATGGAAATGCATCCGGGATCGCTCCGGAATTAACGTGTGTTTATTCTAACCTTGGCAGTGTAAAAATGGTATAAGGTACTTACCAGCTACATTTCCCAGACCCTTGTTGAGAATATGAACCATTGCTACTATGTGATTCCCTTTGAAACCGCACTATGAAAAAAAAAATGTAATAAAACATAAATAAAAATTCTAAGCACTTTGAGATAATGACAATCTGGGTGGTCCATAAAGAAAAAGCTCCTTATATTTATCCAGGTAATCTTAGAAGTTCAGCTGATATTCAGCAGCCTCTATTAAATACTCAGAGATGCTTTATTGGCAGGATTTCAACATAGGCTAGCTTTTGCAAGAATTGAACTCTTAGGACTGGTAGGAGTGATCACTAAAGTCCAAGTCCTGACATGCCTAAATATAGTCATGATGCTGTCATCACACCATTACCATATACATAAGCATATCATGACAATGGGCATACAACAGGTTTTTTTGTCAAAGAAAATTTTATAATCTGGACAGAGCTTTATATATCTTTAAGTGGATGTAACTGTAATGCTAGAGCATAAAATTATGAAACAGGATAAAACATTTGAGAAAAACAAAATCACAACCCGGAAAAAAATACTTATAATGACTGAAGTAAAATGGGAATATTAATGTTACTTTCAGTTTACTTTCACTTTATTCATTGAAGATCAAGATTGCATAATTATCTGTCATTATTAGTACACAACTTACAAGGACTCTCTTTCTCCCAATGGAATGATGCTTCCCTATGGATTGTATAAGACTGACCTTTAATAGGAAAAATTGGGGAGATTTTAGATAGGGAAGGTTGGGACAGGCTTTAGAACAGGGAATGCTGTGATCGTTTATTTAAGAAATACTGTATAAATGTTTGATAAGAAATGTTAATACGGAATGTTTTAAGGATAGACATTTGATAGGGAATGTTTTGATAAACCCTTGATAGGGAATGTTGGGATTTAGCTTCCATAGGTAATGTTCAGATAGCAGCCTAAAGCAATGCTGGGTCAAACCTTTAATAGGAATTGTTAAAACAGACTTTTTATATGGATTACAACAGTACAATAAACAATAATGAAAAAAATGATACTATAATTTTAAGATAGGAAATGTTAGAATTACCTTTAGGAATATAATATAAACTTTTCATAAATATTCTTGGGAAGTATTTTTGAACGAAATATTAGAAACAAAATAGACTTTTGATCGATAATGTGGGAATTTACTTTCAATTTACATTCAGCCTGTGTTGAATCATGGATGCTATATAAAGATATCTTTGATTAAATGGAAAACCGAGAAATGAATCATGAAGTACAGTATCAATAACGTCTTTATTACCACAGTGTGCAGTAATAACATTATCATAAAACTTTGTTCAATTTTAGAGAGAAAGTCTCTGTAGAATCATTTTCATACTACAATTATACATGTGGACTATTCCATTTTTCAGAAAGGGAAATTCCTTCAATGACAAAAAAAGGGTGTACTTATGATACTTTACATACAGCAAAAAGATTATGTTAAAAAGTAATGGAAATTACCAGAGATTTGGGATTTTCACATATCTGTAGCACAGCTGAAAAAAAAAATTAAGTTTGTTAGTTATGAAATCATACATCAAAACTTTTTCTCTTTGCTTTCAAAGAGAAAAGTAACTTACATTCTTAAAATACTGGTATATAAAAAAGTAGGCCTATAGCATAAATATTTAGCATAAACAATACTGTACTAAGAACAATGTAAGCTATTTATTTGCAACATTAAGAAGAAATCTCTTAGAAAATAATGTTATAAAATAGAATGTTTATCATTATAAAAAAAAACATGACATTACACTAAAAAGAGGTACGGTACAGTAGATACAACTAGGGCCGTATCCTACTCTACATCAGAACTGAGTAACGTTGTAAAAAAAAATTATACTGGCACGCTGCACACCAAAGATCACACAGGCTGCATCCTACTCTACCTCAGACTTGAGAAACATTGGAAAAATAATTTATGACATAAAAATGTAGAATGTGTCAATCCCAAGCATGAGACAGGATACAACATTTTAATGTGTTTCCTCTGAATGATCATTTATAATAAATTAGAAGGGGAAAAAAACCAAAGTCCTGTTTTGGCAAAATTTCAATAATAATACTCATAAAATAATCAAAACAGACTTGAAGGAATGAAAAATATATAGGAAAAAACCTACTGTAAAACATATTTATTTGCAAATATGTGCAAATTTACAGCAGCAGTTGTACAGTAGAATGAAGTACAGTAAAATGAGACTTTTTTAAACCTAGTTTAGGGAACCCGTCGCCCCCTAAAAATTATGATTTTGGATAATAACAATAACATTTTATTTTTGGCCAATTAGCGCCCCCACCACCACGGAAATTGGTAATAAAATTTAAAAAAAAAAAAGAAGTTGATCGTTATTTTCATTACGATCGCTGCTGCTGTGAAATCTCAAAAATAAGATATGTATATTTCTTCCCAACTATATACCATATATCCTTGAATAAGCACCGCAGTGTTTATACAATTTTTGGAGGCTTCAGTGCAGCGCTTATTAAAAAAATATTCGTACTTATTCACTTATTTGGAGGTTTACGGTAATTTTAACCATCTCATTACTCTCCTGTCTGTTTACATTCACCAATAAAATTATATTTTTATTTTCTCCACCGTCTGGATGTTTTTGGTAAAACTATTTGCTACAAGAAAAGAAAATTTTTATTTTTATTTGGCCCACTTCTGATATTAAAAAAAAAAAATAGGTACAAAACAAGCTATAAAAAGAGTCTCGCCTAAGTAAAATGACAAACTCACAAGACAAAAATTTATGGACTGAACACTATCCCTAAAGCTGGGCGTTCGCTGCATTGTAGAACAAATCCAACGCCGCCCCTTATAAGCGCTTGACTACGCAACGCTGTCTGCTAATTGTTGTTAGCACTCTGAATGGATCATTATTAAAAATTACCTGCCTCGTGTACGTCGTGGCATTGCGTTCTCCATAGAATTGCATCTGCCGACACAAATAAGTGCTTGGTTTTACTCTCACTTCCAATGGGAAAAGCATAAACATGGAGAAGCAACCAGGACATACATACAGTATGATACATACTTCAATGTAAACAATGTGCCACCTAATTCCAAAGGCACGGTTGAAATATATGTGAGCCTATTGTACTTGTTGCTGCGAAGCAGCCAATTCATATTCTTGACAGCAATATGACTTCTGAAAGGTCATTGTTTGTCAAAAAACAAGGGCCTAAGACGACTGAAAAGCGGAGTTTCCTTCTTTCGTTCTGCCGGGTAAAATCAATTACTTTAGGCGACGTTTGTAGACTAACCAACACATACCAAAGTCCGCATGTCGCGCTAGCCTTATCCTACTCTAGGCCTAGACCAGCTAGGAAGGTATAGGCCTAGCCTTGAAGGGACGAAGGTCCCAATGAAAAACAACGTCGCTCCTTGATAGCTAACATTGTCTATTTAACATCACAATAATTCATTATTAGACCTATAGTTGTTTTTTGAATTGTACTCCACAAATCTCAGCCGATACCTCGCACAACTCGAGTAACATCTCGTATCTATTGTCGTGCCGTCATGGCTCTCTGGCTCACACTTGCGATGTCTCGCACTTGTGATCAAATAACACGCTGGCTCGCACTTTGGCAACACTCTTTGGCAGTCAACAATGAAAAATTACGACTTTGTTACCCAATGAGAAGTGTTCTAATATAGACAATGGGTCGTGTCTCATATTATTTTTTATATTTTTATTATTCATTATTTTCACTTGACTCGCATAAATAATTTTGTTCGAAGAAGATTTATATGCAGTTGTACTTTGCAGCACTTCACTTAGTTTTTTAGCAGTGTTGTATTCTTAAAATTTCCTAATACAGAAAGGTAAAATTAATTTTCTCAATGATTCTACAAAATAAATATCAGGAAGTTTTTTTCAAACAGCTGAAAAAACCTTTGAATATTTGTGTTGTAAACACATCTCAAGAAACGAAGGCTGACAGGCGAGTGAACATGTGACTGAGCAGCGGAGGGGATGCAACGTCACTATAGTAATGAATCTTTTCCATGTTAATTGCATCTGTTGGCAAATTCACAAAATGTGTAAGCTTTTCTCAAACTGCTCAGTCACAGAAGAAATGCATAAACAAGAACACATCAACACAAAACATAGATTTCAGTCCTGTCCAGACTATCACATTTTATGTGACATACCTAAATATGGTCATGATGACATCATGACATATTATATAGGCACATCGTCATGACTACATACATTTTATAATCTAGATCTCTTTAGAGTACATATTTTTAAGTGCTATCTTTTAGACTATTTATGTATTATTATTAAAAAGAGTATAAATACTGTAGGAATTCATAAATACAGCGGTTTACTGTATTCATTTAAATATCTAGCTCAATATGTAGAAAAAATATTTACTATTAAATTAGACTGTCATCCAAACTTAAAAGGTCAGGTCATTAATGGTTTCATAAGCATACTTAACTATTAATGTTATTGAATTTGAACACACAACTTCCATGTCCAGACTATCAAATTTTATTTGACATGACAAAATCATGTGACATACCTAAATATGGTAAAGATGACATCACATAATGACCATATATAGGCAAATAATGACTATATATGGGCATTAACAGTTTTTTGTCAAAGAAAATTTCATAGTGCGGACAGAGCTTTGCAGGTATTGGATTCGTCTGTAGATTTTGAAAGGTCAGTTAAACTATTCCTGGGGTAGTTAAAACATTATTTCCAGGACAGTTTAAACATTCCCAGGGTAGTTTAAACCAGTCTTGGTGAAGTTTAAACTATTATCAGGAAAGTATAAACCATTCCCAATGTAATAAACAGTAGGTTAAAAATTATTCTCAGGGTACCAACCATTCAAACCATTCCCAGGGTTATTGAAACTTCATGGATTCACACATCTCAGGGTTATTCCAATTAATAATAAGTTTCTAGAAGTTACGATAAATATCAATCCCAGTTTTTGAGCTCTATGGTAGAAAGACTAGAGTATCATCAAGAAGCTGGTGTTATGTATTTACCTCTACAACTAGCTCTACAGAGGTTTACTGTGTTTAAAGAGCAAATTTTATGAAGCAGTTGAAAAGGTACATTAAATTTAATGTAGTGAATGTTTATAAAGTAGTAAAATATAATTAGTTTTGCTATGTAATGTTGAAAGAAGGACCTGACTATGAGAAAAAGCAGATCCGAATTTCTAAATGTTCATAAAAATTCACAGTTCATATACTGTGGACAGCATAGAAAGCTCCGAGAGTAAATTTCCAATGTAATGCACTCTTCAATCAGTGTCCTTAAACGCTGCTAAGCTGAATTTTCTACAGGAGTGGAACAAAATGGGCGCGAGGTCTGAAGCAAATTTGCAGGCAAATGTTTTATTTAAATGGTGAAAATTTGACATTACAGCATGCTAAATGTCTTCATTCAATACTTTTAAACTGCACTAGATTTAATTTTTATTTTTTATTTATAAATTTTTTTTTTTTAGTAGTGTATGAAACTGACAGGTGCTGATAATAAAAAATAAGTACAATATTTTTTCATTAGTATACAGCATTAATATAATTGTTGAACAATCTATTTAAATTAAAGTGTACTACCTGTGGATGTTAAATTTTCATGCTCTATTTACAAATTTTGACTTCCAGGATCTTAATGTACAGTACATCACTTTGAATAATAGTAACACCATCCTCTATTATTCAGAGTTAAAAAATTTACAATACTAAAAAACCATGAAATGGACCTGGTCCCTTTAATTAGGCTAGGAAATCTAGTTCTGTGAAACATCCAAAATTAACTTTCTCTATAGCAACAGCTGCTAGGGTCCATGAGGCATAAATCAACGTGGCTCAATCTAGGACTTCCAGAATCATTGAATAATGATGTCATTTTAACACAAGATGTGCACTACCAAACATACTGTATTGTATTTGTTATATTTTTACATGTACAAATATTATTATATTCTTATGTGACTGTAACAAGAAACACCTGTCAATGGGGCACACTGTACAGTATTGGTGGTAGTATTAATCTGCTGTATGATGGCAAAATAATACAGTATTACAGTATCTATAGTATATTCATTTCATAACAAATTTTCTGGCCAAAAATATACTTCCAATGAAAAGTTCCAAATTACATATGTACTGTATGTTGTTTATTACTTTTGGTTCTATTTTAAACGTGCATACAGGCTTTTATGTTTATACACTACAGTATGAGTTACATTTTATAATTTACCAATATTTAACAAAGTTTTAGAAACACTAGTTTTTTAATTTGTATATTAATTATTGTCTCAAACTTTAAATGTTTAGAAGATGGAAACAATATGGTTCATACGTGGTTCCTTCTTTGACATCCCTACCTCTTTGTAGGCCTATTCACATTTTTATTTATTTATTTATTTACAATTACGGTACATTTTTTTTAAATTCGCATTTTCATTACAAAAAAATAAAAAATTGAGATACTACTGTATAACTCCAAATTTTTAATTGTACCTGTATGGGCCATATCATTTTCCATATTTATATTTGTTACTTTTCTTGTTATATTTTTGATGTTTATATATATTTCTGTATCTGTGAATGGTTACACCCAAACAGAATTTCTGTTTTTTGGACAATTTAATAATCTTGAATCTTACTGTATTTAGGAAGAGAAAAACTAACATTATTTAATTACTTTTAATATTTAAACTTTAGCATCAAATAGGATTGCTCTGCCCAATAAAACTAAATTAAATTACAGAGTATTACTACAGGCCTACTGCCATCTACCAAAGTTGGTGGTTTATTATAGGGAACATAAATATTTTCTTATTCCACCCAGCAGGAATCTCATGATTGGCTCATGGTCCTGTATCCTACCTCAACCATGTGATGCTTCGGATCAATGCCTGATCCACAGACGGGAGAAAATAACGTCTACACGCATATGGTACAACATTAGAGTAAACATAAAGAAAAGGGTAGAGACCCCATGGTAGGAGAAACTGGATATCATGCAGCTTTGACTAGACATCAAGTTCATAGGCTTATATGCAGTGGAGTCTAAGGTCGCTTTTGATTTACCTCACTAGCAATACCGCTGAAGAAGTTGAGAGTGCTTTATGGTCCCAATGGAACTGGCTGCTCCAACTGGAGCACACATCATCCCAACATTCTTTGTATTAAATACAGTTAGAAAAAAAATGATAATTTATATTTAAAAAATTTATTTCTGGTACAGTTTGTAACCTTTAACACTTTAAAAACAGCAGTTTGCTTGCGATTATTTGATGACAATTTGTGCAAAACAGGCAACCATTCTAACTCTCTGGGAGGGTACATGAAACAGGTTTTTCCAATACCAGCCTACAATACTGTACCAGTAAGCCAATAAGTACTCAGTCAAAAGCCTTGTAATTAACATTGCAACTGCTATACAGTTATACACAATGTTGGATTTGGTTGTATCATGGAGGTACTTATTCCTCCATGGTTATCATTTCAGATAATACGATAATGAAATATTGGAGCACATGTGAATATACTGTAGCTTTGTGATTATGTTTGCCTTTTTCAACCTTGGTTCAATTTCTCTCATACAGTAGGCAGACCTTTTTTCTCATCACTATAAACAGTTCCACTCACTAAGCTTCATAAAGATTTACTTGCTGTTAGATGAGAAAGAAATACATAACATTAAAAAAAAAAAAGTACAATAAGTTGAAAAACAATGATGCAAAACTATAGTGTACAGCCTGCTTTGCCTTATCAGTATACCAGATGGATCAATGAAATTAAATGTAACAAAAAAAGTTCTATTTTGTTAAGAATGCCCTTTATTTGATTACATAAAAGACAATAATTAATACAGTTAGGATCATTATTCACTGTAAGCTTTTTTTTTGTCACACTAAAAAAGATACTAGCTGTACTGTATGATATACAATTCAGTAGGCTCTCTTATTCTACATAGAGCTGGAAAGAGAACCACCCTAATTACAGATGTACAGATTGTCTGATGTCACCATTATTGGCATACGGTAATTTTTAGATAATACGGTCTCTATACTAAAGAATAATCTTGTGTTTCAAAGCTCTTTAAATGTTTAGTTTGATTTTATCATGTCGCAGCAGCATGTCAACTCCAAAATATCTGTAAGAATAGCTTTCCCTTTCATCCGTTTCCAGGTCTAACCTAATTGAACCAAGACAAACCCAAACCCTTTCCTGACACTGCTGGCTTTCTTGAATTCAATGACTGAGACTAACAATTTTGCACAAGAAATGGTAAACTTTAAAGGCCTACTGTACTCTACAAATGTGAATTCATCGTTACCTTATGACAGGCTAAAACGCAGGTAAAATGTTAGCCCATTGATACTAGAATAAACTGCACAAGATTTTTTTTTATACAGTACATCTGTATTTGAACAGATGTTGTAGCCACCATGTATAGTATTTCCATTTTTTATTGTCCAAAAAATCATTTCATTTCAAAATTATACTCTGCTTAACGAAAAAATACCTGGTTGGTACTGTACAGTATGAAAGACAAACATTGGGTTAGAAATTTGGTTTTTATGTGGATTTTAGATTTATTAAGCCCATTAAATGTTCAAAGTTGTTAATTTTTTTTTTCCATTTTGACTTGAATGCATTTTGCACTATACAAAATTGACATTTCACTATTACATTATTAAAGTACAGTATTTTCGTACGTACAGTATTAAACCATGTTTAATTGAAGGCAACTATCCCAAGGTGCTTAAATAATACAAAATAAATAAATTAAACCACTTTTGAAAAAGAAAAATAATGTCTAAAATTTGATTCACAGAAACTTCAAAAGTGCCGGTTCTAATAATACTAGTAGGTCAATTTTCGCTAAATTTGAAATGAACATTTCTGAGAAGCTGGCAACTACCACTGGAGGGCATACAGAGGCCTAGGCAATTCGCTCTACGTAGTTACCAGTGTTTTACTGTGCTCTGTGCACGCCCTTGTTGTAGGCCAAGGCTAGTCTTTGAAAAAAAAAGCCACAAAAAAAAGTAGCCTAGGGGCACATAAAAGCGGCATTGTTTGTGGTTGTCAAGTATGTGTCTGGGGGGAAGGGGGGTAGTAAGCACTTTGTTGTCGTCTGGCAGTTGGCCTTGTAAGAGTACTGTATGTCCAGTAGAGTAAATCGATGGAGGAATGATGGGATGGGTCATGAGCTAAAGATAAAAATGAAAAGTAATCTACGAAATATGATGCCATGTTACAGTAGATAAGACCTATCCTAGTTTACAGTTATAAATTTGACAACACAAAAAGCTGCTAGATAAGACTTGTCCCAGAAAGTTCACTAAAAAGTCATTCCAGTGAAGTGCCAACATTGAAAGCCTACTGTAGATGATGTACTGTAGCCTAAAAACAAAACTATGTCAAGAGTAGGCACACACTCCCATTGGGAGCCTATTTTTATTTTTGTATTTCTTAAATGAAAATTTTTAGTCAAAACAATGAGCTAGCCATTGTATTTGACAAATAAAATATTTCAAAATAAATTTTTTGAACGAAAAGAAATATCAAAACTATACTTACTAGGAGTTTCATTATCTGTTCCCACCATGCTAAGATAAACAACAGTCAACGTAACAAAGAACAAGAACACAAATGCAAGCAGCATCATAGACACATAATGTCCATATTTGGTGCCCCACGTGGCTGTAATATTTTCTTCTGTTTGGAATTCAGTCTCCAATTCATGGGCACTAGTAGTATTACTAGGCTTAGAGTAGCTCTGCTCATCAACATGGTTGCAAGTTGCTACATGATTAGCTCCTTTATCTTTGGTTGCACGGCGTCTTAATGGACGTGTTCTGGCTCCAGTAACAGATGTATGTTCTGATGTAGTTGAATCATTGTTTGTGTCTCTCTCAAAAGACCTATTAAGTTTGACTGGAGTACTAGCGTGTGGGACAGATTGAGTCAAAGACTTGGTACTTGACGATATCAGGGGACTAGGCCTATTGCTAGGTGGATTACTAGGCCTAGATACCTCGGTTTCTTCATCTGCTGCTTGCTGTTTGCTACTCATTGGTGAATTTCTCAAAAAAGTTCGGCTAAAAATATTTGATGTGGAAAGGCTTGCAGATTCATCTTCCCCATTTGTGTCCTTTTTTTCATCAACATCAGAATCTGAAAAATCATCTTCCTTAGAACCAGTTGCATTTGAGTTAGATCTAGTAAGCCTAGGCCTATGTGAAGTGGTTGAAAGAAGGCTGCCCACAACCTGTAGGGACCTCCTACCAGACCGCCGCGTTGTGCTTGAGCTTGCAGGTTGGATGTTATTGCCTAAAGACCTTCTGTTTCTTGGAAGCTTATCTCTAAACAAACTGGCAGGGTTAGGCCTAGCCTCATTTTGTTTTAAATTTAAAAGCGATGAATCTACGTCATCGTCTTGTATTGTATATTTCATATTTGAGTTATTCCGCTGTGTGAGTTTTAGGCCTCTCGGCCGTAAGCTCCCTACACCATTGTCATTCACTTGTGTGGAGCCAGCGGGTCTGGACCGACCTTTCCGCCAGTTTGACTTGGCCTCCTCCTCGTCGCTTTCGTCGGAACTGAAGCCGATAAGCGGTCGTTTGGCTACCGGCTTGATTTTGCTTTTCTTTGCCACTAGTTTTTTACCAGACTTTAATGTATTCAACTTCCTAACATACAGACTCCGAGTGGATGCTGTCACTGGCCCTGGATCAAACCCTAAACGTTTCAATTCATCACGAAGTTCAGCGTCCGTTAGCACTGAGTCCGCCATGTTTCCTTTCAAAAGGTGACATTCAGTGCCCCGGATGTAGTTTCTTGCCCGAAGCTAACCACAAAAGGGGCTTCCTATACAGAAGTAAAACCGCAAACATTAGCGACAATACGATTTACACGGGATAGGCAAACTAGGAAGAATGTATCGAAATGTGTAAATACTTCTTATGTTTCACTTCCTCTCTCATCTCGCACTTGAGTTAAAATATTGATAATGAAAAGGTAAATAGGAAATGAATAGCGTGTGTGCTTCAAAAGCTTATAATGTAATAACCAACGGGTTGACGTGTTGAAAATGAAAAAAAAAAATTGACATTTACTTTAAAGTTCAAAAGTACTGCCACTGTATTGAGGGCGACATGCAAAAACTAATGCCAATTTATCAAAACCAATTTAATTCATATATCTTCAACAAGGGCCAAGATGCCAACAGGCCAAGATGCCAGCAATCTATATTAACGGTAATTTCTGAGTTGATGAACATATAACTTTATCGTTAAGTACTATTCAGATCCGGAAAAAAAAAAAAAACTGAAAAAACTGAAGCTAATTATGTTTACCATCATCATTATTCATCATCTTCGTCATCATTCAATAATTACCACCCTCTTTATTTTATCATCGTCGTCGTAACGTGATCCTTATCCTTGTTGTTATCATTAGATAGGCCTATCATTATTGTGGACTCATATCTGAAATGATGATTTTATTAAAACAGATTTGTTTCCCTACGAAATGCGAAACAGGGTAACATTAAATTAAACATGGACGGCTAAAGTCTTTATTGGACGAATTTATTATAATTTCCGCCCTATCTAATAGTAGGCCTATTTTTATCATTGAAAAGATGGCAGACAACGAATGAAAATTCTTGCTGTAGGCTAATGTTGTCTGCCCGGCCCTATCAACAATACAGTTGCAGCGTTGAAAAAGATATTTCGTTATATTAGGTGTAAATTAATAGTTTTTATCGAGATTTTCACAAATGTCATTTTGTGGAAAGGTGTATTTAGATGTAAATAGGCCTATATGCTTCCATAATATATACTTAAACATAAATTAAATTCTGCATTCTAAGTATTTTATTATTCACATGAGTATTCGTTAATGATAAACGACGAATTATTTGCTACCTAAATTATATGCGCCAAAGCTGAATTTGCAGAGCAGATAAGAAGAATTTTTACACTCAATACCAATAAAGTCCGCGTGCCACCTCTTACATCAATTTTAATTGTATTAATATTGAGTGATATTAGTTCGTCTGTCTAATCCATGCCTGCAAACTCACACAGTAGGCGCCCTCGCGAGTCGTGAATTAGATTAAAATAATATTCTATATAGCTATCCTTATCTGTCTCATATCCATGACCGTCGAAGCACCGAACTTTGGACGCTAGCGTGATAATGATATACCAACAATGTTTTTGCTAATGATAATAATTGAGATAGGATGAAGTAGAAAGTAGAAAATATTTGACGAAGTGTTTCATATACTACCCCCAGAAGTAAGTGGACTTTGGGGCTTGATCATCGACGATAGGACTTGACGAACTCGGTTTATCTTTGCACTTATTTTTCTTGTTTGATTATTTCGTTATTCTCATTAAAAGTTTCTCTTGACATCTGTGGTATAAGCACGAAAAGGTCCCTGCTGTGGCGAGGATAATAATTGGAGATTCCGTTAATGAGGATAGTTATTTAGCAAGCGTGGATAGTGATTTGAAATAATGAGCGAAAAGTTAAAGGAGAAGAATACAACGGAGATCGTTGTTTCGACGAACGGCGCATCTTTCACGCAGACAACAACATCAGGTAAGAGCAATAGGTTTAGACTTAACTTATTCCTCCATGGTAAGTACAGTACATGTGAATCTGAAGCTACCAATCATGTTCACAGAATAATCACAACATTGCAGCATTCTTTATATTAAATTATTTTTACTATTGTAGTTCAATGCGGATGTTTATCATCTGGGATATCAAATTCACCCACCTCCCGGGTAACAGTATATAAGTGAAGGTTGCCTATTAATAGCCTATTAACTATTGTATTATATCCAAAAGTACTACTGGCAAAATGTACTGGCCGCTATGTTTTATTAATGCATTTATTCAAATTAAATATTCTCATGAATAATTTAATATAAGCGGAGGTTGAAAACCCCGTTTTTATAACCACGGTCATGAACAACCATCGTCGTCGTCATCATCATCATCATCATCATCATCATCATCATCATCATCATCATCATCATCATCATCATCATCATCATCATCATCACAATCTATCACAACGACGCCAGGTAATAAATCCAGGGTCTAGAGCTGGCATCTATGATCACAACATAATCAAAACATAATCACAGCATTCGCTACTATATTCAAAAGTTCTAGGCCTACCTGTTTTAATCAACAAGCCTAGGCCTACCTGTACATATGATTTGCGTAATCCTGTAATAATGATTCGAATTAAAAGCAGGCTATGATTATTAATAATATATTCAAATTACCATTATCACCATATTATTCATTAGTATAGCATGGTGAACTCCGCTGACATAACGACAACACAGGCTAATCAGTCATCGTACAATCTCATTAGGGTAAACAGGCCTATAAAAAACATGATCAATCATAGTCATAGGCCTATCTAAATGAATATAGCACATAATGCAAACCCAGTCACGTCTATAATTGGTTTCCATAAAATCGCTAAACTGTCGCTGTTTCAGCAATGTTACACTGCATAGCGAAATCAGTAAGACTCTCTGATTCGACCGACTTTCAAATGGAAGCTCAAAGCAGCAATACCAGTGGAATGAAATCTCAATGGCTACAATTGACATAGAAGAGACCTGAGGCAGTGGTGTATCTCTGTCTCTTATACACATCTAGATGTGTATAAGAGACAGATTTTAATTGTGTCCTTGGTTGATTTAATTTAGTAAGGGCCCATGTGGACATAATTGAAATAACAATCCTTTTTATATTTAACTTGTAGCAAATCATTATGTTTCATATTTTATGCAAGCCTAATATATGTAAATCCTTCTTCGTTATTCAACTTTGCTATATCTGTTGTCGGCTTTGCTTCATCCGTGCATATCTCATAACTCATCACCTGGATGGTGGTATTGTTAGATCTGAAGTAGTTGATTGCTTCAACGACGCAGATTATGCGTCACCGACGCAGATTATGCGTCAACCGGCCTACATCACAAACTCATATGTGCATCAATCTAGGCTGTTTAATGTACGGTATGTAGCTGAGTAGACGGGAACAATAGAGAGAAACTGACCACTGCAATCATTGATAATGATAAGCACCCTTAAATATTGCGCGATTAGGCTCGCGTGCAGAAGGCCGAAGCAGATAGCAAGCCTGTCATTGCAAATCCATCGTCAACATTCAGTTACAGCAAAGTAGCATCACTTACATTAGAATACATTGGAACTTACAAATGTATAGCTTGAATATGTCACGGAAGATTAATAAGCTACGCGTAAAATGCATTAGACTACGAAACAACGCTAGTACACGCGTGCCTCAACCATAGTAAACGAGAGGCGAACGTCGTTTTAGTTCAGTGTTGAATTTTTCCAAATTCTACAGATACTTTGTTGAATGTTTTACAGTTATTCTGAAAGTATGATTCGTTAATTTTTAAAACATCACATCTTGCATTCGTTTATCGGAGTGAAGACATTAAAAACATAATATCCGTATATTTTTACCACAGGCAGATGATTTATAAGCAGTGAAATTATTCAGTATTTGATTGGCAAAAAATTACAATGTGTTAAAAAAAAGGTGAACATCTACGCAATATTTCTTTCAACCGTGACACAATACATAAAATGTTGCTCAATATATGTGGTTGATGTTATAGTCATCATTATTATTAGGCCTTGCCGGACTGATCAACATGTTCTGATGATGCATGTCGAATTATAAACATGGAATGATGCAGGACTGATTTTGGTTGTTATGATATCGACAAATGGAGGCCTATGGGCTGTCTCTTATACACATCTAGAGGGGCAATGATATCATATCATACTCATGTCTTGTCACATAAAGTAGAGAGCTTGTTGCTACTGTACTGTTGGTTGTAAAAATATAATTGCGCCCTCTAAGCCAAGGTAACACAAGGTTAGGTTTATACAGGTAGGCCTATACATGAAGGAAATATATTATATACAGAATTATAAACCTCTAGTTAGGTGTACAAAATTTCCTGCACATCCGTTCAAAACTAGCGACGCCGGGTGCTTTTAAAGTTCTGATAACAGCAAGAACAACTACAACAATGAGAAGTGATGTTCAGAGAAAAAACTGTAAAAGCATGCAAATATCATCAAAAATTTGCGGGAGATGATATATTCCGGAAGATTCTTGCTTGCTCGCGTGAGTGCGGAAGCCCTTCCTGTCGATTTCCAAGAGACTCCATTCCGGGAGTCTGCAGGAGAGTTGGAACTCCCGGGCACTAAATGTGGTCTTTAGATTAAAAATAGATTAAATGTTTTAAAATGGATGCATGTAACTAGTGAGTTTCATGCCTTGGTACAGTATTGTGCAACCTTGGTAGGGCTGAGGGAATGGATCCCCCGTCGAGAAACTTGTACCCTCATCTGGCGCTGCCACTGCTAAATAATGCTCTCGGGGTTGAAGGAGGGTGGGTAGAATTAAACTAATAAACTTGCGGGGCCTTGTTGGATAGGCTAAATACCAGTGTGTCCACAACTATCCCAGGAGACCACATTGGTCCCGACAAAATTGAATTGCTGAGTTAGGGTTCATTGTATGAACTTTTGGCAGACTGACTCGTAGGGCCTATCTAGAAGCAAGCAATGTGAAACATCTTCATCCCATAAGAAAACCACATTATTACAATAACAATTGGCCGGGTTTGATATCCAATTCTCCTGAATTGTCTAGTGGGTGTTTTTTTTTCTTCTTTTTATATATAAATTGTTTAATATATACTAGACAATGCTTTCCTTTACATAAAGACCAAATTAAAAATATATCCTGATATTTGTTTATGTCGACCCCCGAGGTTCAACTTTAAAAAGGGCGATAAACGTTTGTTCGAAATCATCTCTACTTTATGTGTACATAATTTCCAGCACGTCCGTTCAAAACTGGCGACGCGCGTTGGAGTTTTTCAAGTTCTGGAAAAAAAAAACAACAATAAGAGGTGAGGTTCAGAGGTCCGCCTTCGCAGATCTAATGAGAATAAATAGTTGAATTTGTATAACGTATCATGAAAAAAGTTGTATATAACGAACAGTGGTGGCGCCAGGACCTGCCCGACGGAGGGGCTAAAGGCCCCGACGGGAGTGGCTAATGGAGCGAATCTAGTCTCACTTGGCTGGGGGCCAGAGGGCCGCCTAGGGCCCCGGTGGGGGGGCCACGGTTATTTGATGAATTATGGCGAATTTTTATAACTTATTTGATAGGAATCGAGTTACTATAATATGACTTCATGTATAGGCTATGCTTTCTAATTTTGAAATCAGCTTCCAAAACCAAAACATTTTGAATAAAGCAAGAAACAAAGAGTATGCAATGTAATCTAATTATCTAATTTATTTTCAAATCCTCATTCTTGAAAGTGAAATTCTATATTTTGGAAATTTTGCATGAAATCTGTCAACCACGCTGTCATGATCGAGGTTACTTCACCTATCACGATGTATTCCAACCATCATGAAGCTATCAAAATGAGCATTTGTCATAACAGAACGCAAATTGTTTTTAATTAGACTCATTGAATTATTAATATTATTATTATTATTATTATTATTATTATTATTATTATTGTTGTTGTTGTTGTTGTTGTGGTGAAAAGTTAACACAAACAATATGGTGGCTAAACGAATATTACATGTAAATATTTTTTTTTTTACATTGTTTGTTCCCAGACAAAATTTATCGTCTTCTCCGACGGGGGGTGGGGATATAGCCCCAGCCCCCCCCCCACTCTGGCGCCACCACTGATAACGAATAAGACGAGGGTGTTATTCATGAATCTGAAGCAATGCGAACTAACCTGAGCTACTGTCTGTTAGATAACTCTTATTTTTAACGAATTCCGTATCAGTGCTTAAAATCCCTCAACATTATTACATTTTCGTACTTTATGTCCAGTAAATATATTTGAGCAAAAGAATAAGCACGTTAATCACTGCACAAAAATGGCAGTGGTTTGGCCATCGTATCGACAAAAACAGAAATTTGCAATATAGCATTAACATGGACAACGGAGGTAAGAAGAGTACGTCTTCTAAAACAATTTAGGTCTATAAATGTATGTAAATTGTATTATCCTCTCGCTCTCGCCACTTCAGGTTCGGTCAGTACGGTACAGTATTTGCTGAAGTACTACGCCACTGTAAATGAAAGCTCATCAATCTACGGCACCAAGACTAAATAATTATACCAAACATTGTACGCAAGTACACATTATAGTGCAAAGAGTGTATCGGATAGGTCTAACAGTCAATTCAAATTCAGATATATACAATGGTTAACTGAAATGACAATAAAGCCATGGCCACTTGTATAATAATATGCACGTGTTACCTACACAACGTACATTTTTCGACTACGTCAGTCACGATAAAATGATTATGGCTCATCATCTCATATTATGGTTATATATTCTGTCTCTTATACACATCTAGATGTGTATAAGAGACAGTAGAGAGAGAGAGAGAGAGAGGTCTATAATCTATATCGCGACTGTTTTTTCCCATGATAACAGGTCAATAACCTCGATACGCATAGTTTTCTTTTATATTACATA